TTATGTATACTATGCTAGATCATACTGCATACACTTAAGCAGTGCACATGAAGTATATGTATTTGAGTACATTCTATGTTATAGTATGCTTTGCTATGTCATATTGCATACACTTTAATAAGTCAAGAGGAACTTATAAGAATAATTATCAGTTGAGTGCCGTACCAGCCTCCACAAGGGAGGTAACTCATGCTCCACAAGGGAGAAACAGAAAATAACAATAATGTTCTCCGACTCAAGGGAGGCATTCCAGTTATAATCACGGTGTCGTGGGGGACCTTGCAAACCCTCACGTTCCGATGATTGCGCGCAAGTGGTACGCGAGCACTCGGGCCCATCAGTAAGAAAGATAAGATAAGATAATAAGATTATGATAAGACATCATAATTAAGCATAATCAGCTCATGCATATTTATTCATGTGTACTTACAGTTATTTTGTGAGATATAGTTCCTACTTGCTGAGCGAAAGCTCAATCAGATATGTTCATGCTGTAGGTAAGAAACCTATCAGCAATTCTTGAAGGGCAATGGCAAGCGGCGGACGAATGGTGGAGATGGGAATGGATACCGCTCACGCAGTTATCTTCCGCAGTAAGTTTAAGAAAAATCATGTATATGTATATATGATTTAAAGGTTTCAAGCATGTATGTTTAAAAAGTATAGGTACATATGTATGTTAAGGAAACCGAGGTTGTAGCTAACAACCCTCGTTTTGAGTATTTAAGTTTTAGAACGTTGCAACAGAGCATGCAACAAATAAACAAATTTTAAACATGACGATTTAAACGATTGATTTTAAAAGGGCTTTAAGATGTACTTGAATTTAAGATTTCTCACAAAATCCGTTTTAAAGTCAAAATTAAATGGCCCGATTGAATTGGCTAGTTTTAGAAAGGCTTTTAAAGAGCATTTGAAATAAGAGTTCAAATGCTGCTCTGTTTGAAAGATATTTTTAGAACGTTTTATCTTAACTGAAATTAAGAAAAGCTTTAAGAAATTTAGTGATTCACTTATTTGAAATTATTGTTACAAATTATAAAAGTATTCTTTCTTATATTAAAAAAAAAAAAATGTTCCGCAAATTTTAAGAAACCCCAGTAAGTACAAGTTAAAGTTTAAGTTACAGTGGCGGCCTCATAGGAGGGTCGTCACAATGATCACGTGCGTTGCATAGAGACGGAGAGACTTGCTCTTCTCACTTTCAAGCAAGGCCTTGTTGATCCTGGTAACTACCTCTCCTCCTGGACAAACAGCAGCAACCGAGACTGTTGCTCTTGGACAGGGATCACGTGCGATAACCGAACCAATCATGTCGTTATGCTTGATCTTAGTCAGAATCCTATCCGTGGAGTTATTCCGTCCCAACTTGGAAATCTTACCGAACTGCAGTTTCTCGGTCTTGGCAGCGACTCTGACGGTGGAATGATTGCTGATAATCTTGAATGGCTTTCTCGTCTCCCTTCTTTGACAACTTTCGAATTGTGGGGTACCAATTTCACAAAAGCAGGGCTTCAATCTTTTCAAATGCCGCCTTCGTTATCTACCTTGGAATTCCGTAGCTGTCAATTTCCACAGGTAGACACCTCTTCTTTTTCTCACGCAAATTCATCTGATTCTCTTGAAATGCTTTCCATGTATGCTAACTCAGTACATTCCACAACAGTTGCTTGGTTTCACTCTAGATGGGCTTCAATCTTTCAAAATGCCACCTTCCTTATCTTCTGCAAACTTCTCCAATGCCCTCACTAGTCTTGATCTCCATGATAATACAATTCATCCCACAGTGCTTTCTTGGTTGCTAAATTCTAGCACCAACCTTGTTGACGTTACCATCTCCGGAAACTTTATATCCGGTGTGCTTCCAAATTCCTTCCAGAAAATGACTTCCCTCACAGATTTGGTCTTCTCAGAGAATATTGTACTTGGAAATAAAATACCCAAATTCTTGGGGAATCTTACCAACCTACAAACATTAGATCTGTCTGGCAACAATTTTAATGAAACGCTTCAAGTTGTTTTGGAAAGCCTGCCCGGTCATTCGTTAAAGACTTTGGATTTGAGTAGGAACCAACTTGGAGGGTCAATTCTTGATGATGGAAAAAAATTCCCGTCTTTGACAGAGCTAAACCTCTACGGGAACCTATTAGAAGGTCTTCTTCCAAACTGTTTAAGTCGATTTCCAAATGTTGTTACTTTGGACTTAAGCAGCAATCGACTCACAGGATCATTGACTGAAAGTATTGGCAAGCTCCAAAATCTAGAGAGTTTGGATCTTTCTAATAACTCTCTGTCTGGGGTTGTCTCTGAACTCCACTTCCAAAAGTTGTCCAAGTTGAAGGTATTAGACCTATCATCTAATTCTTTGACATTGAGTTTCAACTCCAATTGGGCTCCCCCCTTTCAATTGACTTCCTTATCATTGAGTTCTTGCAAGTTAGGTTCGAAATTTCCTAGCTGGCTCCATAGGCAATTTGATATTTCACATCTAGACATTTCCAATTCTGGAATTTCTGGTGCTATTCCTCATTGGTTTTCTGATTTGACTTTCAAATTGGAGCATCTAAATCTATCTTTCAACCTTATGAATAGCACCTTGCCAAACTTTCCATTTATGTCTGGTAATGATCCTTTTGTTGATTTGAGTTTCAACCAATTCCATGGTCCTATTCCATTTTCTCTATCCAATGCAACATATTTGCATCTTTCCAATAACAAGTTCACTGGATCACTGTCTTTCTTATGCGACGTAAGATATGGAGCAACCATATTTCTTGACCTTTCAAATAATCTGTTAGTTGGAAGCCTTCCGGATTGTTTGGGGAATTTTACGGATCTAATTATTCTTAATTTGGAAAACAATGAATTGTTTGGAGTGATACCAAGATCCCTTGGTTTGATGCACGGCATTTCCTTCTTGAATTTGAGGCACAATAATTTTTCTGGAAGTTTGCCATCGTCATTGAAGGATTGCACCCGGCTGAGAGTTCTACATGTTGGAGAGAATAATTTGAAAGGGGAAATACCCTCTTGGATTGGGGAAAGATTAACAAACTTGGTCTTTCTGAGTTTAAAATCAAATAGATTTTTTGGAAACATACCTTCAAAGCTTTGCCATCTCCAATCCATTCAAATCTTGGATCTTTCTATGAACGACATATCCGGATCCATTCCTTCATGCATCGACAATTTCACCTCAATGGTTAAAAAACTCAATCAGGAAGTTACATCCATTTCAATCTATGATGGAGCCGAAGGTTATGAATCTATTGCAATAATTGTGTGGAAAGGAGTAGAGTACGAATACAAGAAGATTCTTGGATTATTAAGAATCATTGACCTTTCAAGCAATAGATTGTTCGGAGAGATTCCAAAAGAATTTGTAAATCTTGCGGAACTAGTTCAACTAAACCTATCACGGAATAATTTGAGTGGAGTCATCCCTGAGAAGATTGGAAAGTTGAATAAGCTCGAATCATTAGATTTGTCCCACAATAAGCTTTCTGGTAACATTCCAGTGAGCTTGGCTGAAGTTTATTTTCTTCAATACTTGGATATTTCGGATAATCAACTGTCGGGAAGAATCCCAACAAGCACGCAATTGCAAAGTTTCAATGCTTCTGCATATGCTGAGAACCTTGGACTATGTGGAAAGCCTCTGGACATTTCATGCCATGGAGATGAAAATTTGAACGGTACTCCTCCAAATTCTGGTGGTGACGATGAAAGCAATGTTGAAGATGGCGGAGAATGGTTCGACATGTCATGCTTACGGATGGGGATTGGGGTTGGATTTGCAGTTGGATTCTGTGGAGTTTGTGGTAATTTGTTGCTCAACGCTTCTTGGAGACTTGCTTATTTTCGACTGTTGGATAACTTTGGAGACTTTCTTTATGTCATAATTGCTGTCAAATGGGCCACAATCAAGAGAAGGTTTTCCAATTAACAGGTATAAAATTTATTTAGTTTTATGTTTTACTTCATTTAGTAATAAAATGTGTCCAATGTTAACGTATATGTGTTGGGAGGGATGATATATAACCTATGTATTCCCCGCTTATTCAGAAGTTAAAACGTATAGGTTTAAGTATTTAAAAAATTAGCTCATTAGCAAAAATGATAACAATAATAATAATAATAGTAATTGTAAAAATAAGTATATAAAAATTTTGCTAGAAATATATATATATATATATATTTGGTAATCTATTACAATGTTCTTTATTACTAACATATATTGATAAAGATTGCAGGAATTGGAAGGTATATGTCAATCAAAATTGGGAAGTGAATTCTGATGCTGGGAGGTGAAAAATTGTTGATTGTGACGCTTGAAGAAATTAGAATTCAAACTTCAAAGCGCTAAAGGAAACTCCATCAAACATGAAGATGAATTGTGTGAATCTCTATTGTGAATTGTACTTGTTCCTCTTCTTTTCGCTTTTCTTGTGAATCTACTGCTTTGTTCAATTATAGTCCTTGTTTAGCTAGTTAATTTCATTCTCGTTTCTATTAGGAAAAAAAAAAAAAAAAAAGTTTTTATCTGTTGTTATCTTGTATTAGTATTTTGACTTTATTTGTATTTATTATCGTATTAGGAAATCTGTTAATTTTAGTCTTAAGTAACTATTCGAATTATGTTATTATAATTTGTATTTCTATGGAACCCATACATAGTGCTCTTTATTAGCGAGTACTAGGCATCTCGCCGAACCACATTAAATCTTTATGTTCTCTTTGCCCTTCGATTTTCTTAACTAATTATTAATTGTTTCGAAAAGAATAAATTGAATCCAAAAGATACATAGAAATGTACAATTAACAAACAACATAGATTAACTTATTTAGATACTAATGTACAATTATCTTACCAAATGTTCTAACCTACAACTGAGTCTCTATGAATGCCAAAAGCGCCAAACCCGACGCCCAAACATCTTCATCCAATACATGCTCTGCAGGCGAGTGACTTACACCTCCACGACAGCGGACAAACAACATACCAACCTATAATTTTTCTTTTTCATCAGACATTATACACAAGGGGAAACTACATTTATAAAGCAGAAATGAACAAACCTTAGTTAAATGGGATATAGCCATTGCATCATGTCCCGCTCCACTCATTAAGACTGGCAATTCAGTGTGAATTTCACCTCTCATTCTCTTCACAGCGGCAAATGCGGCAGATTTAAGCTGTGAACTCAACTCAGAATCACAAATCACCGCATTTGCATCGTGCTAAAATGACACATAGAAAAGTAAGTCATCATTTCATGGAATAACAAAGCGAATGCATTTTGACATGAACGTCGCACACCTTGCGGTCAATTGTGCACGAAACTGAACGCCTATCGCATATTTGATACATCCGACTTGATAATTCGTAAATAACAGCCTCGCGCCCAGTGTCATCTATAGTACGTAAATCCACTGTGAACGTAACCTAAAACCAACACATTAAATTTCAATTTAACAATAATCCATCTTTATTTGGGCTCATTATCAACATCAGTAGCTCCAGAGCTCAAGCTCTTACCTGGCCTGGAATGACATTACTTGCACTCGGCCAGGTTGATATCTCCCCGACAGTGCAGACGAGAGAATTTGAAAGTGATTCTAATATGGAAGATTTGCAGTTACCGTCATAAGACAGGAAATTTTTGGGATGTTTACAGAGACTTTCCAAGAGTACAATCATTTCGGCCGCAGCAGCCATAGGGTCCTGACGCATAGACATTGGAACCGTTCCAGCATGCCCTTGAGAACCTCTGACCTTAACCTGCAATGTTTGTGCAGGAAGTTTCGACACAACCATAATAAACACAATGTCTTCATATCACACAAAAGTCACTCACTTTAAACAAAGTACTTCCCACAAAGGCATAGCACAGGTCGTGGACTACTCCATGTTATCTCAAGAATTTTAGATCCCACGTTATCCTACCCTTTTAGATTTCATTAATGCCCCTGCCCTTCTCAGATTTGTGTCAAAGAATGCCAAAAGTGGATCTCCATTATGCTTTACATTTCTTGAACTATGACCTCTTTTTTTTTCTGTGGAGAATCAAATGAAATTAGTCCATCCGTGTGCCAAAAAATTTATATACCTGTAGTCTTGTCTGACCAGCTATGCCATTTACCGCCCCTAGAGGAAACCCAGCCCATTCTAGGACCGGTCCTTGCTCAATGTGAACCTGTGACATTAACAATATGGAATGCTCTACAGTCAGATTTCAGGACACTTTCTATATCGATAAATGAGCATAAATAACTTTTTAAACGTAGGATAATCGGTGAGCAGGCTTGTCTGCAAGAAGATTGGTCAACAAAATCATACCTCAACATAACCCCAAACTGACTCGGGATCATACTTGAGCTGCAACAAGTGTTCCTCTGTAATATCTATGGAGTTCTCTTTAAGAACATCTTGAAGTGTTATACCCCTGAGTAAGGCATCAGAAAATTAGTAATTGATAATAAATTCAGTTTAAATAATTACAGAAAAAAAATAATGGCGATTGTTTCAAGGAAACCTTTTATCAGTGATCTGCAGTGCTGAAGCTGGCAAAATTCCAGCTACAGCAGCACTGCCCAGAAATGTAGATTGAAATCTTACACCCTCCTCGTCACTAAAAGCAATCACCTGCAGGGTTTAACGATTGAGATTAAAAATAGTGCATTTTTAAGGTATAATTGCTGCAAGGAGTAAGAAAAATCTATATAGAATCTCTATTGTAGCTTTACTAGACATTTTTTATTCTGTTGCATACTTCATACATCTAAGTAATAACAATCGTGTATAACGATAATTTTGCAAACTTTGGAATAAAAGAAAGGGAACGATTGTATACAAATGAAAAACAAATTAGTTTTCACAACTGCATTTCAATTTTTGACATGACATTCAATTAGTCTTACTTTAGTTGTAGTCTCATTTGCAATTAGCAACAATTTGCAAGTTCCAGTTGGGCTTTAACATGATTAATCTTGCATACAATGAGAGTGAACAACATACAAACACATTGATTTCTGAACACTAAAGGAGTTGTTGGGTTTTAGGTACAAAACCTACTTCTGCAAATAGACGCAGATCGTTGGAAAAATTCACCAATGCTGATGACCATGATATCAAATAAAGCAGTCACAGCATGATTTTCCTTCTAATTATGAAGTGGTGTTTACATGCATCCTTATGAAGCCAAATACAGGGAAGTGGTTTACTGGTTTCTGCAATTTTAAAATGACTCATTTTACGTTTTCTATGAATCCGAATCTTCCACACACCTCAACTGGCCGCTTGCGTGTTCTCAACTTCCCATTGACATGCAAAACCTTCAGTGCAGCTAATGCAGAGATGATTCCTAATGATCCATCAAAAATCCCAGCATCAACAACAGTATCCTGTTGGCAAAATGCAAACATAAATATCATCACTGCCCCTGGTAAGTATGTCCAATGTACTCCTTTTCAATCTAGTACATATTTCTTTCGCTATGTGCGCCTGAACATAAGTGTGTTATTGAAATAATTTGAAATTGTGATCAGAAAACAAAAAACATAAATGTGTTATTGAAATTCAAATAGCAATAGAAGATGTATAAGGGGGGAAATCAAAGGGTCACCAAATGAGAGCCAATTATCAAAGCCTCAGCACTCGCATTCCTTCCCTCAACCCGACCATGTATGTTGCCCAAAGAGTCAACCCACCTGGACATTAACACAGAAACTGAGTCAAAGAATCTGTAAAGACACTATTCAGAGTGTTCAAAAGATAGACAGCTAACGTTCTCAAACCCGCGTCCTCCATCCATCCACGAATAAGATTTCCTGCCTTCACAGAAGCTGAGCTCAAGAAAGTCCTCTCGAGATATCCTTCAGCATCACTAATCTGTTAATTATGTTAACTAGATTAGCATTCACATTTCCATAACCAATTCCACTACCATAACACAATATCGGATGCCTGAGTTGAGTACAGTACTGCCACCAAAGAAAAAACAAAGAAGCAAAGCTATTTGATAGCTCGTTTTTCAAGCAAAATTTGAGGCCAGGGCTGCAAATATTGCTGTATTGGACAATCAAAAAGTGCTTTTTTTAAAAAAATTGAGAAATGTTTTCTTTCTTATATGTTATGCAGAAAATCACCATTCCATAAGATAATATTTTTTTGTAACACACCAACAATAAATACCCCTTCTGGTTCAGATATTACTGCAAAAAAGTTGGCAAGAACTTTATTATCATTCAGAAAACAAGATAAAGTAAAACGCAATAAAAATATATTGGCTCCATTTTCCAGACAACTAACAATTTTCTTCTACACCATCTCAAATCACATAGCAAGAGAGGAAACTAGTTCATTGCAAATTGAACAAAACTTGCATCCATTAACGATTGAGATAATCAACACATATAAATCGGGTAAACCAATTCCAATAAAAAAAAAAAAAGTAAAAAGGTAAGAACAAAACAGGGATACCGTATAAGGTGAAAACTAAAAGTTTGAAAAAAAAAACCTTTTCTTTTTTTTTTTTTTTTAAGTGAAAATGAATGGTGTAGATTTATATTCATTTCAGATAAATTAAAAAGCTTCAAGAAATAAAACCTGTCCAAGCTGTTGAAGCCTTGCCACTGCTTCATCCCTTAGGATCTCCGGATACACATCCTTCAAATCGTTTCCTGTCCAATATCATATCAAATATAAATCTACATATATATATATATCCAATATCTTAATGAAAAAACGTTCTTCAAAATTCAAAAAAAAAACCAAAATAATCATGATTATTCATGAAATTACCAGATGATTGGAAATCAAAAGAGGTGGATATAGTGGTGGATAGAAAAGAGAACAAAAGAAGAAGAAGTATTGAATAAGAAAATGGCTTTGGCAATGGCATTCGCATTGGCATAGAGAGAGACAGAGACGAGGACAAGAGCAGAACTTGCAAAGCCTTTGAGAGGAGATTCAGGCAGAGCAGGCACCGCAACCTTGCCGTCGTCTCGTATTCGTGGCTAAAAGCCTTAAAAGCCTAAAGCTAAAATAAAACAAAAACTATGGCTAATAAATTATTATTTGTTTTTCTGTATCCGTATATCATAATTATTGGTGCCAACACTTCGATGATTTGATGATATAGATAGAAGTGCCAAACTTTCTTACGTTTTTGTTTGTCGTTTTGATTTGTGAAATGAAATTGAATATTTATGTGGTGGAGGTGGTGGCCGTGGTGGAGACTGATTAGGATGATTTGTTGGGGCCCACCAAGTCAAGGTGCAGGGTGACGTGGCACCCTCCTAAGAATACCGTAGTATATAAAAGATAACATATATAAACCATTACGTAAAAATGTAGTGGATATTTTAGGAAAAGTCTCTAGTTTGGTACCGGTATTTGTTTATTTTTTTTAATAAAATATGTATATTTTTTTTAAATGTGTATTTTTTTTAAATATGTATATTTTTTATAATAAAATATATAATATATACATATTTACACATTTTAAAGAATAAATATATATGTTTTATAGAGAAATAAACAAATGTTGTTCCAGTTTAGATACCGGACTAGAGACAATTTCTGATATTTTAATGGATTTTTTTTTTTGGTTTGGTCATGTATCCAATATAGCTTAATTTAATAACACCTTATAATGTGATACACATGGCGTAACATCATGCAGCTGTACACTCCCTAAAAAAAATAATAATAAAATAGTAACTAAATATTCTAATATTCTAGTTATATTCTAACCTCTAATGTTGAGGTTTGTTGTTCACATGTCAGCATATTTATCAATATTATGACACACCAATCCAATTCAATAACAAAATAGGAGATGATCAATTACTCAATTTTATCATTAATTTGTCAATGAAAACTTCGTGATTATAGGCAGAATTTAATTATAATTTCATACGTGACTCCACCAATATGATGACAAGTTTAAATTTTTAATCTCAAATTAAAAAAATGATTTTTAGCACATTTATTCTTTAAATCTGTTGTAGTTTAATAAATTGTCCCTAAATTTTTAATTTTAACAAGTTGTCTTCTCAACTTATAAAATTATTATAATAAGTCTCATTTTAACAATGCTTGTGTTAAATTAATGTCAAAAAAGCGTGTTTAATGAAATATTTCAACATCTCAATTTAAATATAATGTAAATCTTTAAATTTTTCAATTTTTAATCACTTAAATCTAATAAAAATTTGAATAAATTTAATAAAATTAGACACATTACAATAAATTTATAATTTTAAGAGGTTGATTGTTAAAATTAAAAATTTAAGTGATAATTTACTAAATCACGATAAATTTAAAGATAATTATGTTAAAAGTCTTAAAAAAATGACAAATCTAATAGTTGTCACGTGTATTACACACGACATCTAAGACACTAATGGCATGTTCTTTTGGAGTGTAATTTAAGTGTAATTTTTTAATTGAATTTGAGTTATAATTTGAGTTGAAGTTATAACTTAAATAAAATTAAATAAAATTAAAACTTAAAAAAATATGAACTTAAATAAAATTGAAATTTAAAATGTTTTTTTATTTTTTTGAGTTTTTGGGACAAAAGATCACGCCCTAATTTAGGATGTTCGAGATAATTAATAGACTGCACAGTGCTGTTGTCAGTTGTCAAAATTATATCAACTTTTCTTTCTCCTTTTTTTTGTCCCAACTGAAAAATGAAAATGATATCAACTTTTCTGTTTGTAATAGATTTGTTATTAGCTGGAGTCCGCTGCCATTTTGGACTAATAATATGCTTATTATGGCAACTGAGCTTTCAGGTTTGGCGCAAGTGAGTCCCGCAATTTTCGATCCCATCAGGGATCTTTCCGGATAACATGTCTATAAAATAAATAAATAAAAGAAGAAATTTGTGAATGAGAGAAAAAGTGAAAATCGAAAAAATGCAGAGAATTAGTATTTAGTTATTTTATGAATTTGAGTTTAGAATTTAAGTTTTATTATAACAAAATATTTTTAAAAATAATCACATTTAATTTTTTTATTATAATAAAAAGTCTCATATATTATAACATCTAAATTCGAATTAAAAATTTAAATCAGTGAATTACAAGTGTAGTGCCATTTGGTTTCTCCTTCGAAGGAAAGTTGAGTTTTGTTCTCCAAAACCACTTTTCTTGGTCTACAACTGCAATAATCAAAGATTAATAAATATTAGATGGGATAACTTGCATTCGGAAATTATATATATATATATATATATATATTTTGGAAAAAGGCGTGTGCTCACAAAATTGTAAACACTACAAAATAAGATTCCGTTATAAAAAATTCATACGAGAATATTTATGATAGAATAAGCTATTTTACTTCATCAGCAGAGATTATATTTTTTACATTAGATTAATTTTTCAACAATTTGATCTACAATAAAAGCAATATTGTGTGGTGTGTTGTAAATTTTTAATACAAATTTTCACTTGTTCTCATTAAAAAAATAAAATAGCATGCTCCATCGCTAAAAATTCTCAAAAATTACAAGAGAAAATTCAAAAAGAATTCCTCAGCTTTACTTAAATACAACTTTTTTTGATAATTTTGTGATAAGCTATGAAAAAAATAATATATTTCTTTCAAATAAGAATCTATTGATAAGACATAAGTTCTAAACAATAAATATAATAGATTACCAAAAATTAATAAAGATTCGTTTGAGTTAAAATTGTGCCTATTATTAATAAGGTTGTTTTCTTAAGCCATTTTGTCTTTTTTAAACAATTGTGATTAGTGAACATTTTATCATCTGGCACTAATTAAGCAGGGAAGTAGAATCTTGCCAAAATACATGCATTTTTATGTTTTTTTTCTTTTTTTCTTTTGATGAGCTACAAGATTTATTTAAGGTCGGTCCCTAAGCATTAAAAAGAATATTGAGTTGGCTTACTGCCTAATATACATCATGAATTGTTTTATCTCATAAAAATCATTGATGAGAAAATGTGGTTATACTAAATAATATTAGGTCATTAATATTTTAGAAAGTGGATTATATAGCAAAAAGAATAAATAAAAACACGAGAAGGCATAATCCACGTTATAAAGTCTAGAACAGCACGTTAGTTAAATACATTCCCAATATTATTATGAAAAGGCAATTACACCAGCATATATAATCCATGTTTCAGGCATACTCTATCCTTCAGCAACTTATTCTCAGCTTCAATTTGTTCCTTTTCCTACAGTTTAAAAACAAATGTACGAGTGCAAGCTCGCCACAAAAAAAAAAAAAAAAAAAAAAAAAAAAAACGTTACATAACTTCTAAACAACATTAACAAAGTAGAACTAGGGTTGTATAATGTTATAATGTACATGTATACATAATTTAACATTATATTATACATCAAATTTCATGACATGTAAGACAACAGAGCATAACACAACGTTTTTTTTTTTTTTTTGTCCGAGCAAAACAATATGATAAATGAAGGGAGATTCGCTGTTAATTATGAGAGTAATAGAGTTATACCAGTGTCCATAGAGGTATTTGCGTCCTCAACAGGATCTGAATTTTCCTCGGTAGATCGCAGGTGAAGATCATGCATGGGCAGCATCTAAATTTTTGTCACATCTTTCCATGGCTCTTTGATATATGTTTCTAATTTAGAATCGATGTAAAGTATTTAATTTTTTTTTATTGAATTATTTTGTAGCCATACCACAGTTATTCTATAATTTCTTTCTCACTCTATTATTAATTAATTTAAATTTTTACTTGGAAACCTGAGTTCTTAGTTTGACTAGGGTGAACCCGCTTTTATTCTTTTTCTTTTCTAATTTATTTTAATTATAAGAAAAAGAGAAGGGGATGGATTAGTCACAAATATTTGATTGTATCTTTAATTTTGTCATCGTCAGGAGGAGGCTTGTCGACGACTACTAGATTTGAAAATGTTCAGATCACTAAGAGGGATGTGGGGATCGCCCTCGACAAACCCATATCGTGATGGTGGGTCGTGACCCGCCCTCAGATTGTAACATCGTCCAACCCACACCGTCACCCACACGAAGGGAGTTCCTACTGTAACGCGCGCTTCTCCCAAACTGCAGCTCAAAAATTACTAAATTTGAGAGAAACATTAACTTAAAATAAAATAACACTTCATAAGAGAAAATAATTTATATCACAAATACAATCCTCAAACATAATTATTAAGTTTACAAATTTCAAATCTAAATATTTCTAAACTCGTCATGGAACCTTGAACTATTATTATTCTATCAATTAGAACTTCAAATAAAAAGTTTACTTGCATCACAAGAACTGAATGAGGTTGCACTCAGTAAGTAAATTATAAATAAATCCACTTTTAAAATACATCTTTTTAATTTTAAGTCCTTCTTATATAATATTAATTTTGTGTTATTAAAACTTCTTTTATGTAAGTCCTATCTTAAAATTTCTTATTCCTTAAGAGGTTGACAATTATTATATCTCAATCAGTTCATATAAGCACAAGATTATATCATACTCAGAAAACATCTACAAAATTAGACGAAATACATCAACAGTAACATATATAAACTGAAAACTTCCATTGAAAAAATACCATTATTCAAGTGTGAAAGGTCTACTTACATGCTAGCGAATAGATAATAGAAATCTTCTCATCTCTCTCTATATTTCTCCTTTTCCTTTTTTCTTTTATTTTTCACTCTCTCTCTTCTTTTTTCTATTATTATTTTTTTCTCTCTTCTGTTTCGAGCCTAGAAGTTGACTTGATATTTTTTAAGGTCTGTTCATTTCGTTGATTTAAGTTTAAAATTTAAATTTTATTACAGTAAAAAATTCTTATAAATAATCACATTTAATTTTTTTACTACAATAAAAAATTCTTACATAAAATTACATCTCAACTCAAATTAAAAATTTAAATTAACGAATTAAACGGACCGACATCACGTATACATAAAGCACCATGTACACATGTGGCAATCAGTGAGATGACTTATCTATTGGACGCCACCTCTTGCTTATTGATGACTAAGGCTGATAAAACTTCTCGTATAAATCCACCTCATGTTTAACATCTTCATGAGCTGTGACTCTTCTGTCCCATCGTCGATCGCGTTAGCACTTACAGGCAATGTTGTCAGAGTTTTTTTTATAATAATTTTCATTATATTTTTAATTATTGGATCGAACAAGGTTTAAAAACGTGCCTAATCAATAAGGCAAAAACAGCTAGCACTATTACAGTCTAATATTTATTATGATTCATTTCTTAGGAAGTGTATTTATTATTTGTATAATTATATATAAATTATGTATATTTAAAGGTAAATCATATATATTTATATGTAAAGTCGTATATATTTAACATGAAATATAATAAATCAATTAATATATATATTTTCATATTATGTGTTCACTAATTTTTATAAAAAATATATATTTTAAAGATTAATATACATTATTATATTTGTATAACTTAATATACACAATTTATATATATATATATACATAATTTATATATAAATATATATAATTATATAATTATATAAATACCATATAAATATACATAATTTATCTATAAATATATAATTATACAAGTGACTGACTAGATACCTTACCCCATTTCTGTATGGGTTATTTATAATTTTACACCTTGTATTTAGATTTATTATGAAAGTACACCGTTAATTTTTTATCTCTCTCGCTGCCACCGGTTCCTTCCTCGCACGATTTGGGCGCCAAAAAGCCTTTCTCCAAATCCTTCAAAATCCTCGGCGTTTCTCTTACTCCTTAAGCTTGAGATCGTTTTCGTTTATCGATTATTCTCATCTGAATCCATGAATGTGGGTCTTGTTGAAAAGTCAGGAATGGAGAGAAATTCCGCGGCTTGCGCCATGCAATGGAGCATCGACTTGGAAAAGGGTCTTCGTTCCAAGATCCCCGGGCAACCGTCGGAAGCCATTTTGGACTTCGGCCCCCGACTCCGGCAATGGAGCCGAGAGCGGGGACCCACTTTTGTTGCACACCACATGTTCGACCTAATTCCCGGAGAAGACCGACTCTTCGCCAACGCCATTTTCTTGCGCCTCGCGGACGCTTTCAGGTTCGGAGACGAGAAAATACGTGTTTCTGTTGCGAAGGTGTTTCTAATGGAGTACAGAAGCCGCGAGAAACGAAAAGGGTATAAAGGGCTGTTGTCAAAGGGAAGGGTGAGTAATTCCATGGAGTTGCTGAGCAGAGTCAAGATTGTGTTTGATAATGGGGATGTTTGTTCTAGGGCTCTGGCTTTGGTTATCTTTGGTTGTTGGGCTGATTTTGCCAAGGACAGTGCAAACATACGCTATTTGGTGCTTTCTAGTATGGTCTCTCCTCATGTTTTGGAGGTGAGGTTACTGCTTTGGTCTTGTTTCTTTTATTTCTGTTTTTTTAAATGCTGTATTTGTTATTTAGTATGGAGAAAATGTTGCTCTTTTTCTTGAGAATTGTCGTTCATTTTTATAATTGTCCACATATGTAGTGACTTATAGGTGTAGATTACAAGACATATTTGTTACTCGGCAAATTATTCCAACTTGCCCTTTGTGTGTTTCACCGGTTTCCCATATGATTTTTCTGTTTTCACAGGCCAAAAAACTGCTCTATTTGCTGTGTTTGTGATTTGAATATGAAGTATTGGAGAATATTGCTTCTCCTTTTTTCTTTTCTTTCCGTGGGAACTAGCTTTCATGGTTATAAACGAAAATTTTCCCATGTAATAAAGACATATTTATAGATGTTTGAAATTTTTGCAAAAGACCTTTTGGTCAATGTATGTTGAATTGTTTTATTAACCAGTGGTTTCCCTTGCAAAATTTGTGAGAATTGACTTGAGCCCTTTAATTTAATTTATATGCTTTTACAGGCAAAAGCAGCTTTATTTGCAGCCGGATGCTTTTGTGAGTTATCAGATGATTTTCCTTGTGTTGTCTTAGAGATGCTGACTAATTTGATGACTTCATCTGAAACATTGTCGCCTATAAGGTTAGCTGCCGCTCGACTCTATGCAAAAATGGGATGCTCATATTCAACTGCAACTAGAGCCTACAAGGTCCTTCCCCTCATCTAGTTTTGTTTTTTTATTTATTTTTCTCTCTTAAAACACTGAACATCCACGTATAAATCTTGCATGTGAGGATTATTGACTCACTGAATAATGCTATGACTTAATTTTGGGGTGCGGCACAAGGGATTGGTGATACGGTTGATTGAGCTTTGAGATGGTACGGATATTGATTAAATCAAATGATGTTATGATTTGGGTTTTAACTTTTAACTTAATTCTGAGACAAGGAAACCCCAAGAGACAAGTGGATGAAATACTGAATTTCCCTTCATTGCCCCTTTTAACTTATTAGGATGTTTCTGCATTGAGTCTACTTGCATCTGTGTGGTTTGGGATTTTCAATTGTTTGGTTTTCTTCAAACGAGTATATTATTGATTGAAGTGACATTTTAAATTTTTTCTATCTTCCTTGTCGGCCTTCTGTTAAAGAGCAGTAGAAATTTTGTTTTGAATCTTGATATATGCATGTTTGCAGGTGTGTATGTAAATGTATATGTCTCATCGTTTACGTTAATATAGTTTAAATACACGCACACATAAATTTTTAAGGTACTAAACAATAAATTTGTTAGAACTATATGCAATCCTTGTCCGATCTTATACATAACACATGATAGGATTCAGGAGCCCAATGCAATCCATTCCAACCCTAATTCTAAAGAACAATCATGTACAGATCACACAATCTTGTGCATCAAACATAGCATTTGTGCATATGTTTGTGGACCTTTTGTCCAACAAATAAACTCAAAACTCAAAAGCAACCTTTAAACTTAGTTTCTTACTCTTTATTTTATTTTGTTTTTTGATAATAAACAAAAACCTTTATTCTTTTGATAAGAAAACCTTTATTGACAATGTTTGTTTATTTTTTTAATAGACAAAAACCTTTATTGACAACAAATTTAATCAATACAAGGTAGAAGAGGATGAGAGATCCTCAAAAATGGAAAAACAAACAGAAAAAAAAAAAAAATAGAGGACTAGAACTGAAAACAGCAACAACGACCCAACAAACAAACTAAGCTAAACAAAAACCAGAGACTAAAACACAACATTCCTAAACTCCAATATGTCCCTCCAGTTCAATAAAATCAGGGGCAAAGAAAAATGATTGAACTCCTTGTCCGTTGAAGCCCAAATGGAAGCTAAGAAAATAGCCTTATCAAGCAAATCAGTAACCTCCGACTCTGTCTTCAAATATTGTTCGATTTCTCTCCGTCTAAATAACCCACAGTAATGCCAAAACTAACGCTTTCCACATGACCTTCCCTTTCTTTCCATTGCCAAAACCGCACGAACTTTCCATTACAGCCTCACATCTACTAGGACAGCCCATTGAAAACCTGCTACTAAACTGCACAATTTCCAGGTCACTCTACAATGCAAGAATAAGTGATCCACAATTTCTTACTCTTCTTTTATTTAAAAAAGAAAAAGAAAAAAAAGTTTTCTTACTCTTCTTTATCAAGAAGAACTTTTCGGTTAAGTGACAGGAGTGAAACAAATACTTTTAGGATAACGAATGAGGCAGTCAACTCTCTCTTTTTATCATAATCCTAATTGAGAATGAAAGAAAGAGCGAGCTGTTGAAACTTTGAAAAATTTAACAAGCCCTTCTATTGTCGTTTCCTCACTAATTTTTTCTTCCAAACAAAGGTATCAGGAGGAGAATAGAGTAGTTTGTGACAAAATAATGTATTGGGTAGCCTTATGGCTCTCTCGAACTGAAGGTTTTGCTGGGTTTTCTTTTGCTGATTTGTTAAGGGGCTGGGGCATGATTATTCAGTAATTTGGGCTGATGAGCTTTGTTTTACTCCACTTGCTAGACTGTTACTTTTATAAATCTGTTTTTGCTTAGGCGGACTCCTTGTCCCCCGGTTGTATTCTCTATCATTAATAGCTCCTTTCGTTTCTCATTAAAAAAAAAAAAAAGGATTGTGCCTTTCGTCTCTCTTTCATTTACTTTCTCTTAATCTCCTTCATTGTAATTTTCTGTGAGTAGATCATCTAGTGATATAGTGAAAGCAATTCTGTGTTGAGCTTCCTCCTATTTATGGACTATGGTAATAAGTATGTATTTGAAAATAAACATCGATAACTCATACAGAGTACTTTGTCTTTAATAGGAAATATTGTTACTTTAATTCGCTGTTCCTTTTTTTTTTCTTTGTGCATATATATATATATATATATATATTTAGTTCTTTTCTCAGTTGGTTCATGTATAGGTATAACAATTATGTGTGAGATAACTCATACTGACAAGTGACAACTGCTTGCAGAGAGGTCTAAAGCTAGCATTAGACTCCGCAGAAGAGGATTATCAGGTGGCATTACTCATTTCACTCTCAAAAATTGCTTGCACGTCAACAATTCTTATTTCTGATCAGGTACCTTTCTGCAGCCATGTAATAGGAAATTCCATGTTGAATAGGAAATTCTTTGTCTAAAAATACGATTTGAAGTGGATGGTTAATTGTTGTGACTCCTATTTTTTCTATTTTTTGTTTTTTGCTTTTTTTTTTTCTGTAGATTTCTCTATTTCCCACAAAAACCATTTTCTTTTCTAATTCAGTAGGCATATTTGTGCTTGGAGTGTTTGCATTTGAACTTAAAGGATTACTTGAGAAATTGCATAAATGTTTACTTTTTTTTTTTTAGTTTAGTCGTTGTAAGTCTTCCCTATGTAAGGTGGTTGACTTGTTTTCGAGGAATACTTGATGATTCTTTTCCCATTGACGTGGCCACATGGGGATGCAGGTGGAATTTCTTTTCTTGTTTCTCTGCCAAGAAAAGACTCTGAGAGTACGAGCAACTGCATTGAGATGCCTCCATTTAATCTTCAATAAGGGAGTATGTCATTTATCTGTTAGTCCAAATCTGGTTAAAGCATTATTCAGCACACTAGATGAACATGAACTTCCAACAAGCTTGCGATGTGAAGCCCTAAGGATTTTGCGTAAGGTTGTTTGCATGTTTCTAAGTATTATAGATGAACTTGTTCATGCTGTGAAGCTTAAAATCTATAAATTCACCTGTAACATTTGCAGGTGCTTTTGTGTATGCAATCCGACTCAACTGTTGATAGTCTTGATCTCGATAAGCTGTCAACTATCGCTGAGGATGTATCCCCATCTCCAATCAGATCAATGAGTCTGCTAGCCATTCTTGTTCTAGTTGACATATCATATAAATTCAAATGTAGAAGAGAAAGAGGCTCTGTTTTGGTACGTCCCTCTCCAGTTCCATCTCAGGTGGTTTCAAAAATTTTCAATCGGATATCCTTTTTGGTGAAGTCACTGTTTGATCCTTGTCATACTGATTCTGTAGTGTATCAAGAGCTTAATAATCTGCTAAATCTTCTTTTGTCTATGGTTCGAGAACATCCAGATTTAGATGTTTTAGTGCTTGATCAGATTTTCGTACTTGTTAGACACCTCTCCAGAATGAACGAAAATGTCATGTCTACAGCACAAATAGATTCATTAGTTCATGAGAGTTCAAATACTGATCAAGGAAAGAGCGCAACCATTAGAGGGAAGCTTGCATGTAAAGTTTATAGTTTCCTTGTGACCTATCTTGAAGATCTTAGTGAAGCTGGTTCCATCACTATGCCTGTGTTTGAGAAAGTGAAGCTTCTGGTTGAACATGTATGTGAATGCAAGTTATTGAATAGCTATACACACACACTCTTCTCTCTTTTGTTGCATTCTTCAGTCATTTGGGGAAATATAAGCGAGGAAAGTTTCAAGCTTGATGGAAACTCGGGTATATTGCCTCATAATTACTCAATTGAGCACGAGCTGATTACTATAGAATTCGCCAAGAAGCTTATGGAAGAAAATAAATATTGGCCTGCATATAAAGCTGGGATGTATTCAGCTTGTCAGGGTGCATGGTTCACATGTACATTTATATTTCAACCGCTAATTGCACAGGTTCGTTCTGATTTGTGTGGTTGCTGGATAAAATCGTTGTTACAATTTGCTCATTCCGAGATACAAATTATGCTTTTCCATTTGACAAAACAAGATTCCAGCATAACAGTCAGGTCAGAGACAATCAAACTCCCTCTTAGATATCTTTCTGACGATCAAGATGAAATGGACCATGATGCTTTGTATGAACCTTGCTACAGTAAAGTGCTTCTAAGTGCTTATAACAGCATTTGCTCCTCAAAAGAAGTTTTAGATGCGTCAGCTACTTCTGGTCAAATGTTTTGTTTCCAAAGGTGGTTTTTGTCTTTACGAGCTAAAGCATTAAGAGCTGTTGTGGATGCACTTGAAACTCTAGGAACCATTCTATCTGGTGGCAGCAATTGGTGGGTTGGCAAAAGTTTTGTGGCTGAGTTCGTGTTGTCATTCAAAAAGATTGCTCAATTATCTATGCAGTTGAAGAGGCTGGCAAAAGAATTCGATCTATTTAGTGCATCCTTCATTGACATCGACAGCAAAAGTTCAAAAGTAATTTCAGCCCTTGCACTCAGTAGTTCGCTGCTAGCCTTTATTACTGGTTTTGCTCTTTTCATTCCGACCCTACCTGAAACTCTTTCCGGTCTAAAAAACTCAAAAACCAATTTACAAGCACATCTGATACAAAATCTAGCTGGGAGGTTGTGCCACGCAGACCATGAAATCAGTTCAAAACTCTGTCAGCTTCTCGACGTCAGTGAACACCAGAGAATAAATTGTTGTCACTTGCAGCTTGGAAGTCAAGCCTTTAACCTTGCCTGTGAAGCTAGAGATGTTCTTAGTCTTTGTAGTTATGCTGTTTCTGAGGTTGCTCGCTTGAGAAGTGAGGCAGACATAACACACAATGAGGAGAACACATCTCGAGTTATCGAGGATGGCATACAACTTACACTTAAAATTCTTGAGAAATGGACGCAAATCCCTCTCAGGACTCCCAAGTACTTCTTTCAGTTAAGGTAAGCTGAGAATGTTTCTCTGAAGAGCATCGCTAATACTTCTATTTATTTAATTTCTCCATATCTTTTATACTAGCTTCTATTCTAATGATCACAAGCATTATGAGGTGATATACATTTTGGATTTCATTTAGATTTTTTTTCTTTTTTTTAAAGCATGAGCTTTCTCTTTCAGATATAAGCAGTAAATCTTAAGTGCAATTTAGCTTAAGTAGCTAATAGATTGAAGCTGATCGAAATCAGTCTGCTTCAGTAAGAGATTTTTGATCAAAAGGCTTTTCAACTTTCATTTCTTACTGTTAGCTGTGGCTTGTATATTTAGACTTGTACACCTGTACGAGTGTCAATGATGGCATCTATTTGAACCCGTTCAATGTTCATCTTGAATCAATGATCACTTTTAAGTTTTCTTCTTGACGAATTATTCCAGTCATTAATTCATGTTACATTCAAATTTGCTCTAAAGAAACCTTTTCTGTGCTATACTTTTGTTTTTCCATTGTATTCTATAGCATAATCTTTCTGCAATGAATTTAAAACTTTCAGGTCTTGCATTGGGTCAGAACTCTTTGCTGTAAGTTCCACAAAAAACCCGGATGGAATTTATGTTTCACGAGGCTATCAGCTTTCTTTAAGTCTATGCCTTCAGCTAAGAAATGTGCCGCCAGATCTCCCTGTTCGGCTGGCCAAGTTTTACTGCATGCTATACTGCAGTGAATCTTTTCAGGAGCCCAGACCAGTTCAAGAAAATAACGAGCAATCTAAGAGCAGCCGTCAAGCATGGGAGACTGATGACATGGTAGAAGTGAACGCAAGGCTATTACATTACGTGACACACCGCGTTACAAACAATACTAATGGCGGTAAGTCTGGTTGTGGCATTGATGATTGTGGGTTTGTGAATGCATTTGTTTGTGTTGAACCAAATGAGAGATGGCAGGGGTTCTCAAGTTGCTTGCTTGACGTTTCTAGATTTCCGGCAGGTTCTTATAGAATCAAATGGTGTAGCTGTTGTATTGATGATCAGGGCAATTATTGGAATCTCCTCCCATTTAACGCGGGACCTGTATTTACTGTAGAATAGATAGAACATGTAAGTTATAATATTAGCTCAATTGGCTTAACAAAGCTTGTTGATTTAGGCTCGTCCCATAGACATTGTCATTTAGTGAGAAAGACTTATGGGATCTAACTGAGAAAAAAAAGGTAGAAATTTCCAAGACGTGGGACTTTGGGTTTGTTTTGTTGTGCAAACATAATACACATCTTTTGGCTGGATTTAGGTAGAACAGTTTTCAAGTCATTTATCAATGACTTGAGGGGTTGTTCTTTTAGAGTGTAACTTGAATGTAGTTTTTGAGTTGAATTTGAGTTATAACTTGAGTTGAAGTTAGAACTTGAATAAAGTTGAGTAAAATTGAATAAAGTTGAAACTTAAAAGAACGTGAACTTGAATAAAGTTGAAACTTGAGTTGTCTTTTTTTGAGTTTTTTAGACAAAAAAACATGCCCCAATGTTCTAAACCGCAGTTTCGGCACTGCCGTGCCAAACTAACAGGAAATAGCTTGAGAAGGTGTTTTGCCTTTAGAAAAACTAATGTAAACACAAAAAGGCTATCTTGTTTAAAAATTTGTCCTTGTTTTATCTTTAATTTGTGATCGAGTTTGTTCCCTTGGCAGAAGAATCTGTATTTATTGATTGGGAATGGACAAAGTGATCATATAAAGCCGTTAAATCTCAAACAAAGAATGAGCAAAATGTGTTCGTCTTATACTTTTTTATGGCTTGAAATATTTATGCTCTTTTTTTTAAAAAAAATATTACAAGATAGTATTCACTTTCTCCCATTGAATATCAACATTAAAGAAGGGAGTAACAATCTGTATTTATTGTGAGGGATGGACAAAGTGATCATATAAAACCGTCAAATCTCAAACAATTGCTAAGCAAAATGAGTTCGTGTTTTATAACTTTCAACTGGAAAAAGGATGCAATGATTTGCTTGAAAAAAACAAACTATTGCATTGAACAAACAATACAATTTAGAGGAATAAATATTTATGCGTTTTTCTTTTTGCTTGAAATATTTAATATTCTTGTTTAAACACTACTAGATCGTATTCACTTTCTTTCATTGTATATCACCTTTTAAAAGGGAAGAATTCTGACACGAATTTAAATTTGAGAAATACAAGTTAAAAGTATACGCCCTTTTTTGGTAATGAACTCAAAAATACAAGGTACAAAAGAGTAAAAACCAAAAAAAATTCCAATAGAGTCCAAGTTTGCTAAAAAAAACCACTTCAATAATTGAGTTAAAAATAAAAAAATGACTGTCAGAAGTGGGATTTGAACCCACGCCCTCTTTCGAAGACCAGAACTTGAGTCTGGCGCCTTAGACCACTCGGCCATCCTGACATTTGTTGTTCCTTTGCAGGAATTATATTTATATCTTTAATTTCTCACTAATGCTTTTCGAATTGGAAAACACACCAGCCAAGCTCCTAAATGGAAATATATATATATTTTTTGATAATTGAACTCTTCTTAGTTTTCTTGCTACTGACTAGGTAAACTTATTTACTTAGGTTTAAATTCTAAAAAAAGGCCATTATCTTTTGCCAAGATACCTAGGTTAGGCCATTATCCATTACCATAGATCCAAAAGCTATTTCGTGATATCTTTCTACTTTTTTTTGAAAAGGAAATCTTTCGTTGAAGCAAAGAAAACTTAAATACAAGAACCAACAATAAAACCAAACTGAGCACATCATTTTTTAGAGCGTGTAAATTTGATTGTAGGCGAAGTTCGTATTAAGAGAAATGTAACGATACGACAATTAATATAATTACTCTTTCTCTTATTTTCTTTATACCATTTTTTACATTCACTGATACGTATAGGTTCCGTTTATTTCGTTGATTCGAGTTTAGAATTCAAATTTTATTACAATAAAAAGCTCCCACAAATAGTCACATCTAACTTTTTTATTATAATAAAAAATTTTCATATAAATTTATATATTAACTCAAATTAAAAACTTGAATCAACGAACTAAACGCCTTTCGTATATTCAACAGCTAAGATGACCATCCTTCATTACTAATGTCAGTACTCTTGGTAAATCGAAATAGTTCTGCATGTGCATTGTTTCAATAAAAATGCAATGGGAACCCAAATATAGTGGGCAGAGTGTTAATTAGTGGCCTAACCCTATGTCACCTCATGCAATAAATACGTATACAGAACAGAAGATTCTTCAGCTAATCTTTGACCACAGTTAAATAAGTACGAGAAAATTATTAAGAGGAAGAGTAATATCTCCATTTTAAATGCTTTATTAATTTCTTCATAACCAAGTCAACAAGAAAAAGATGAGAGCATCAATAGGGATTAGCTGCCACTACAAGGATAGAATTATTTACTTTGCCCTTAATGATTATTTTACTTTTCCCTGTCAATTACTCTATTCCAACATTACCCCAACACGATAACACTTATACGACAGGAATATCAAGTACTGATCATGAATAATATTAACATTTTACATGTAATGTTTCTGAGTTGTGAATCTTTAGCCTAATTTAGAATTGATTCTTTTTTTTATATTTTTTGAGAAAAAAATAAAAATATTTTTTAAACAGCGTTTGACGTAATAAAAATAAAAAAAAAAATGATTTTTGTAGTTTAGTTTAAAATGAGAGAAATGAAAAATAATTTTTAATTATTTTTTATTTTTTATTTTTATTTTCTCATCTCTCGAGCAGAAAGAGAAAGAGAAACATTAATGAATTTTTTTTATACCGAAAATAATCTTTTAATAAAACTACTAAATATATTTTTAAAAATAATTTTTGTCTAAAATTGAAAACGTTTTTAATCTCATTTACATATTAAAAAATAAATTTATTTTAAAAGAGTTTCAAATACGCCATTTGTCATTCATGCTAAAGTTAGAATAATGCCCCTGTTTGTTTCCGTTTTCATTTCTATTTTTCACGTTTTTCGAGATTAAAAATAAAAACGAAAACATAAAATGCGTTTGGCTTAAAAATTTTTTAAAAACAAAAACAAAACTGTTTTTGTCTTTTATGAAAAATTGAAAACGAAAAAAATGTATTTTTATTTTCTCGTTTTCATTTTCTGAAAACGAATTTCATTTTTTTTTTCATTTTCTTCTCTCTTTTCTGAAACTGTTTTTGTCTTATATAATGATGTTTATTTAATATATTATTATTTAATATATTTAATAATATTATATATTTAATATATTTAATAATATTATTTATTTAATATATTTAATAATGTTATTTATTTAATATATTATTATTTAATATATTTAATAATGTTATTTATTTAATTTTAATATATTATTATTTTAAATATTATTACATGTTTTCAAAAATTAAACCACCAAACGTAGTTTTAGTTTTTTTTTTAAACTGAAATTAATTTCTGAATAAAACTATTAAACGCATTTCAGAAATAATTTCAAAATAAAAATAAAAATATTTTCATTTCTATTTTTATACAAAAAAATAAAAACATTTTGAAATTAATTCTAAACGCACCCAATAAAACTCACGTGATCCCACAATTAGTTGCTCTAACAGTAAAAGCTGTGGCATTTGCAGCACCAATAAAGAAACGACAAGTTGTAGTATATTAAAAAAAAAAAAAGGAAAAAAAAAGAAAGAAAGAAAGAATGAAAGGAAGGAAGACGAGTTGTGTGTGCCATGTTTTAGAGCCAATACTTGGAATCTCGTTTTTAACCTTTAAAATTATATGCCGAATTTTGTTTTAGTTCTTGATTTTTAGAACATTTAAGAACGAGTTTGGATCAATCAAGTTGTTACAAATTTATCCTTTAATGCATCTACCTGTTACAATCTTGATTATAAAAGACGTGTGAGGACTATATGTGCAGTCTAAAAGATGTTAATTTTGTAATTTTAATATTAAGGCATAATTGTTAGGAGGGAATTTTTTCCGTTGAGATTTTGATAGCCAGATGGACATAATAATCATGGATTCATTTCACAACATTTTAAAATCCGGGGTTAAAATGAAATTTAACCTATAATTCGGGACTAAAAAAAGAGGGTAACCCTATTATTCTTCCAATATCATGTTAGTCTTTTTTTTTGCTTGATGCCAGACTTTTTGTTTCTAATAAAAGTGAAAGATTAAACATAAAAAAAAGTTTGCAAATTAGGGATCATAGAGGGTAGTCAAGGTAATGAAAGCAGGTATTACTCCTGATTGTGACCGCTGAGTTTTGATTAGTCGATGAATGCATTAATGTCATAAATAATTAGTTATTACGACTCTAAGGGCATTAGAAAAATATTGATTTTACCAAAAACAAGCCGTACATTACTTTGAAAGGCTGCTAAGTTAAGTGCCTTATCATAATTATCATTATGCCAAATTTTTCAAGCCGTACTTTTTTTTTTTTGAAAGAGTGCCTTTATGGTGGGTAGTGATCCGGATGGCTTATTGAAAGCTTGAATTCATGCACTTACATATCATATATGCGTCACTCGTATGAAAATATATACACACTATCAGTTTGTTAATCGGAACGCGTTTACAGTTATGGCATACATAACGTCTTTCATTTTTTTTCCTTTTTGAAGAAAATTATACCTGTTTTTATTTTTTTATTATTTTTTTCAGGAATAAAAAAATCCCTAGCTTATGACTCATTAAGTTATGAGAGAATAACTTAAAGGCCTGACTATTAAAAAAAATAAATAAAGAGTCTTACATTTATAACATAAAACGTTACCAAATTTTGACGTTAGGACATCTAGAATTACCTAGTTTTCACCATATTCGATTATGTAAATGGTGTATATATATACGTGTGTGTATGTATGGTGGTGGAAAATGCCAAAAGATGGACCCCCATATTGAATTCATAAATTGACCCATTAAAAGTAGAAGGTAACTTGTGTTTGGGTAGATGGAACTAATTTTAGATTCAGCAAAAGATAGAACTCATTAGCCCTTCATCCAAACAGTACTAATGAACCCACCAATACATGCACTCACATGATTTTTTTTTTTTTTTGGTCCTTCACGTCATAATGCATCATTTTGATTTTTTTAGCGCCCAATAATGATTTTGAATTTAGTTTCTTAATTATCAAGCTGCTTTTGTTCTTTTCACAACTCAAATAACAACTAAATTTTTTTTGCTACAGTATTGTTTTCTATCCTAAAAATTTAAATTAAACTTTTTTATTACAGTGTTCTCTCTCATAAAAAAAGTTTGAGTTGTGAAAAGAACACACCTGATTTCTGCAAATGGCAGATGAGAAATGTTAACAACACTCTTTAGTCTCTCTATTTAACACGTGGACTCCACTAACATGCTATATTATTATTTAAATAAAAAATGAGATAGTGAAATTCACGTGTCAAACAGTGAGTAGAGTGAGTGACAAAATAATGTCATTAGCATTTCTCAAGATGAGATTACTCAACATACCAAAAAAAAATTCAAATAACCAGGGTCTTCTAAAATAAATATTTATTAGTTTTTCTTTAAATAAATAAATAAGCAATTATAATCCCATATTAGTTTTTAAAAACAAAATCCGAATGTCTTTAACACTATGTTTGGTAGGAAAGAAAAGTAAAAAGAAGGAAGAAGATGGAGAGATTTTGGGAGGAAAAATGGAAATGTAGGTTGTTTGGTGGCAGAGAAAAGAGAGAGGAAGAGAAAATGGAGTGAAAAATAGTACATGTGGGTCCCACCATTTTTCTTCTTTCCACAAGTGGGCGGAAAATGGAATGAAAAATGAAGACAACTAATTAAAGTGAGCAAAGTTACTAAACTACATTTTTTCCATCAACATCCAAGCAAAAAATTTAAGAATATAAAAATAATTTACGAATAAGATTTTCTCTTTCCTCTCAATTTAACTTCCAATACCAAACAAGTGAATGTAAGCTCATTTTCTTTCCATATTCTCATACCAAACAACATAAAAGAAAATCAATTTCCTTTCCATCATTGTTATTTTCCATCACTTCTATATTTCATTTCTATCATATTTTCTTTCCTCCTACCAAAAAGATTCTCATCTCTCTCTCTATAGATATATATATATATATATAGATATATATATATAATACAGTATCATATGTATTTTGGGTTGAGGAATTTGATTTACTACTAAAATATGTATATATTATATTATCTAGCAAAACAAAATAACCATAATTTAGCAAAATTATATATTAGAAAAAAGTGTAAAGTAGCGGAAGGGTTATATTCTAGAAAAACAAAATATTTACTAGTAAATTTAAATCATTTTAAAAATATGCTTTTTACTCAAAATCCATTTAAAAATATACTATTTACTATAATTATTGTTTATGCACATTTATGTGTATGTATTTTTGTTTTTTTTTTTTGTTTTTGTTTTTGTGTGTGCGTGTTTTTTTTTGTTTTTTATTTTTTTTGTTTTTTTGTTGCATTCGATTTGTACTTATATATGTATCTAGCTACATGATTTCCTTAGTCCATAAGGGCGCGGTTCTTGAAAGAATATTGAGTGGGCTCACAGCCTTACATATATGGTGCACTGGATTATCTCATAAATAACATTTATGAGAAAATATATAATTTCCAAGCAATTGATTTTCCAGCTATTCTAATTAAGTTCATTTTAATGCATCAACTATGAAAATATCTTTTTCTATAATTTTCATCCTTTATGCTGTTGAAAATATAACATTTCAACAAAAAATAAAAAATAAAGTTTAATATTGACTTTTTTTTTATAAATATTTTCAAAAGTGCATTATAGAAAAAATAATAAATAAAAACATGAAAAGGCATAATCCATGTTAAACTTTATACCAACACGTTAGTTACAAACATCCATTATTATGAGGCGGAATCATTGCTTGGTTTTCATATTTTGATTAATATTTTCTTTTTATGCACTCAACAAATTTGGTGCTTTCTTAAAATGAACATTTTCTTTTTTTTAAAAAAATGAACACTTTTACTATTTTATATAATTACAATTTCCCAAAAAAGTGCCATTTTCTCAAACTGTTTACGCTAAGGCTTGATCTTTGAGTGACATGTTTTCTGTTGCCAACCCATAGATGTTCTTTCTTTTTCTTATTTTAAAAAAGATTTTCTTTAATTATAATGATGGACATATAATTAGAAGAAAAGATAAATAAAAAAACTGATCAAAGATATATATATATATATACACACATATACATATACATATATATATATATATCAATGGTCATTAAACATCAAGAAAATGTCTTCGTATTGCTATTCTACTTTTTGGTAATTTTGTTCACAACGCCCTCACTTTCCAAAAAAAAAAAAAAAAAAAAAAAAAAAAAAAAACAAAATCAAGCCAAAAGAGTAATCAACATAAAAGATCAAAAAACCAAAAAAAGCAAATAAACCACGGTCACATGCAAGCCTGCCATTTCTTGGCCCGTGATATGATTTCAAACTACTGCTGTTGGGAATTAATCAACAATTCTTCATGTTGAAGTTATTCTCAACATGACCCGAAAGCATTAATTCATTGATCACCCAATATTTAATTAGTTAACTTAAACGACAAAGTTGTGGCAGTATTTGATTGGTACACGTGCAATAGTACTTATGGTATTGGGAGAATAGACTCAGTGGAGGAATTCCCCTGTTCTACATATCTAGATTCTTGCTTAAAGACAAACTTTGTATTAACAAAAAAAAAAAAAAAAAAAAGCTAAAACCATAGTCCATTTTTGCCAATTCCTTCTAAAAAAACCTTTTTACACAATGTCAAACATGTTGAGGTCCCAAAACTACGAAGTTGGCATCGGCAAATAAATGCCTTCACTTTCCGGAGAAAAAACCTGAAAAAAAGTAAAATAAAATAAAAAAGTGGGTTACATATAAAAACCACTCATGTGGTGGTGTTTTATGTGTGATCCTATAAAGAGGACGTTTTTCCTATCATTTTGTTAGCAAATCCAAATCTTAGTTAGGCCTTTCTCTTTCCATGTCCCTGACTTCCTCTAACCATTTCTTTTCTCCACAATTTACATTACGTATATAAAAGTACAAAAACCAAACACCCCTTTCTCTCTCAACAACTCCCCTTCCAACTTAGGAGAGAGAAAATCAAACTCTCTTCTTCTCTAGAGCTTAGAGAGAGAGAGAGAAAGAGAGAGAGAGAGAGAGAGATGGGAACAAGAATGGGAAGAAAAAAATCTCTCATATCATGGTTTATCATGATAATGGGGTTATTAGCCAGTTGTTTTACAAACCATATTGTGTACGGAGAGAACCAATCTCCAATGGGCCAATCCCATCTCCTCAAAATGCAAGCTTTTAAGGCCTCTCTTGTGAGGCATGATTCTGCACCATCTCCATCTCCATCAAATACCTCCCCTTCTCCACAACCTCAGGTCTTGTTCTTTTCAACTTAACTCCGTCTATTTTGTTGGATCATACTTTTTGTGCTACGGCATTTTTTTTTTAAAAATAAATTTGATTACTGTTGAAACACGAGCTATTTGTTAAAAAAACGTTAATTTGGTCGCACCAGGAGGGGGACGGTAGTACAAGTACAAGGGTGTATCACGTGACATCGTACGGAGCAGATCCGACCGGGAAAACCGACAGCACGGACGCAATCATAGCGGCAATGTCGGCTGCGTTTGAAGGCCCAAAGCAAGGATTCTTGATGGAAGGAATCGCCAATCTCGGCGGCGCAAGAATTGATCTTCAGGGCGGCCACTACCTCGTCAGCCGTCCCCTTCGCTTTCCCGCCACCGGGGCCGGCAATGTCGTCGTATGCTTCAATCTCTCTTTCTCTATGTTTGTTTTTTCCCTCAAAATTTTCCTTTCTTGTCTTCTTGTCTTCTTGTCGTACGTGTATTCATGGAAATTGTTGATGTTTTTGTTAATTTGATTTAATTCTGGTAGGTGCTAGATATCAACTACCCAATAAAGTGGGGCTTCCTATTCAAACTTGAAAAGTTTATAATATTGATTCAGTGATAATGCCACGTGGCATAGTGGGATGGGGACGACGTCCCCATGGCTTTAAGCCTTTAACCTCTCTCTCTCTCTCTCTCTCATGCTTCAGTTCTGTTTACTCTTCTTTTAATTTTACTTTCGTTTCCTTCGAGGCAAAAAGGGTCGTCATGTGTTTGTCGGATCTGTTGTTATGATTTTATATAATTTTTTTTATTATAATAAAAAAATTAAATGCGATTATTTTTAAAATATTTTTATTACAATAAAATTTAAAATTTAAATTTAAATTAATAAAATAAATAAAATCTCTTATTTAATTAAATCCTAGTTAGGCTACTAAAAGGTAACAGTAGGTCCATGTTATGATTTTTTTTTTTTTTTGGAAGATCCATATTGTAAGTTATTGACAATGGCTCAATACCAAAGGACACGTGGCATTTTTTTTCTAGGGCGCTTTGATTTCAAGTCTTGCCTCCAAATTATGTTCCTTCTCCTATTTTGGCACCTAAATTTCAAAACGTTACAAATCACACCATAATCTATCAAAATGTCTAACTTTGACATTTACGTAACAAAATCTGTTAAAAAACTTAACAGAATTAACCACATAATCCTCACATGTCTAAATAACAAATGTATCTTAGATAAATCACTGCTTATGAAATAAATTTACCTATGTACTCCTTAGCCAACAAATTTGTGTAGAGAGATCAATTTTTTATTTTTTGAAATTTATTTAGTTACTATTTGTTTGAAATACCATTCACTAATTAGGCATGTTAGGCCAAATGGTTGATTTTTTATTTTTTAATTAGTTTTTAACGATTTTGATGGAAGGACCAAGTGTGAGCGTCTTGTTTTTATTTTCTTTCCTTTCTTGTTATTAAAGAAAAAAACGATGGAGAGGCCCCATGTCTATAGTCGACTGATACAGGTGTCTGATTTGCACAGAAGAGTTATAATTTGGTCTCATTTTGTACTCCCAAGAAATTATAGTTGGTTAAACAGTTAGTTTGACGTGACTTAGAACAATGGTTTTATTCTTCCCTGATAAGTGTTATTTTCTGAGTCGTTAGGGACACGTTGTTCTCAAGTTTGAAAACAAATCATGTTTTCCTATGAATATTTTGAAGTGTGACAATGATTCATTTCATTTCATAAGCTGAGAAAAGTATACGCCTTTTTTTTCTAGGCTCTAGCTACCATTTTTTCTTTTTCTCCTTGGAAATCTACAAATTTTGAGAATTCCGCAGAATTTTTTTCGATCTGACTTGAATTTGGTGATGACACAGATTCATGGAGGAACATTAAGAGCTTCTGATGATTTCCCAACTGGCGGATACTTAATTGATCTGTCTTCTTCATCTTCCACTAACAAGAGCCCACAAAACAACAAGACCACAGTTGATGCTCAGCTTTCTTCCTCATCCTATAACTATGAGTACATCACACTTAAGGACCTAATGTTGGATTCCAACTACAGAGGAGGAGCCATTTCAGTCATAAACTCACTCAGAACAAGCATAGACAATTGCTATATCACTCATTTCACCACCACAGGTATCCAAGTCCAACAAGGCCACGAGACCTACATCCGAAACTCGTTCCTCGGGCAACACATCACTGCCGGTGGAGACCCCGGGGAGAGGAACTTCTCCGGAACAGCCATCGTCCTAGCGGGAAATGACAATGCTGTCACTGACGTGGTGATATTTTCTGCTGCCGTAGGAATTATGGTCTCTGGACAGGCCAATACACTTTCTGGTGTACATTGCTATAACAAGGCCACTGGCTTTGGGGGCACTGGGATTTACTTGAAATTGCCGGGTTTAACCCAAACCCGGATTGTGAATTGTTATTTGGACTACACTGGGATTGTTGCTGAAGACCCAGTTCAGCTTCTGATCTCGAACAGTTTTTTCCTTGGTGATGCATATGTTGTGTTGAAATCAGTGAATGGGGTGGCAAATGGGGTCAATATTGTGGACAACATGTTTAGTGGGTCAGGAAAAGGGGTTGAGATTGTTCAGTTGGACCAATCAAAAGGGCCTTTTAAGGACATTGACCAAGTTGTTGTGGATAGGAACAATGTGAAGGGAATGAAGTTAAGGGCAACAGTTGCAAAAGGTGCTGCTCAAGGCAATGGGACCTCATGGACAGTTGATTTCAATGGGGTTCTTCTGTTTCCTAATCTTATTAGGGATGTCCAATACTCTTTGAGCACTAATGGAGGTGGATTTCCTAATCATGTTCTTCGGAATTCGTCGGCTAATCGTGTGGTTATCGAGTCGAATGTGGCTGTTCCGGGCAGTGTTTCTATCACGGTGAATCAAGGAGTGGCAATTCATGAAGCTAGCTAGCTAACCTTAGTTTTTTGAATCAGGCAGCATGTGTTCACTAGATAACTGTGAATAGGCTGGTGAATATGTGATTGAGTCATATGTGATGGATAGTTGGATATACTAGCTAATAAGATATGAAGTCTCAATTTTTATACACTACCGGAAGAAAAATTGAACAGGGTATATCTGTAGTGAAGGAGAATGGAGATTATTACAATAATACATAAAAATTACTAGATCTTTTCTACAATTTTCTTGATTTTGGATCATTGTAATAATCCATTTTATTGACTTGATGACACCAAAGTCAATTCCATTGCTCAAAATTTCAACTTGGGAATTGGTTCTGTAATTTTATTTTATTTTTTCATGTCACACATTAAACGCATATTTCATTGAGATATAAGGAATTTTTCAAAGTTAAAAAATCATTAAGGAATAACGGAAGTTGATTTCCAAAGAAGATTACTTTTTTAAATTGCAAATTATTCAAATACTCGTGCCTCCTTGTGAGACTTATTTCCTTTTTTCCTAAAAAATGCAAAGCAACAAAATGCAACTAACAATGCATTAGAGCATAATTGAGTTGTGGTCTAGAAGGTGGTATCATTGCAAATGCTTATCGAAGACTTTTTAGTTTTTACCAGATTGGTGGAACAAAAGCAGAAAAGAACAGAAAAAGGAAAAAGAAGATAAAAAGTCTTTTTTTGGGTGCTCATATGTAGAATGTAACATGTATGGTCATATGAACAGCCAGAAAATGCGGATTAGGGCTCATAACTGACTTCAGGTACATAGCAATAACATTTTATGTATGTATAAACGCTGTTATACTAAGTATTAAGGTCCGTTTGATTCACGAATAGTGATTCTAAATTTGTGATTCATTAATGAGAATTTTATGAGAGTAATTTTTGTGAGATAAAAAAAATACTATAATAAAATAAGAATCATGAGTTTAAGTATAAACTCAAATGGGGCTTAAGATTTTGAGCATCAGATAGCATTAACTAATATTTCGTCTTTTCTTTCATTTTAGAAAAAAAAATTGTCTATTTTGGACGGATGTTTATAACTTCAATATTCTTACATGAAGCTTCCTTTTTTTTTTCCCCCCTCATCGGCAGATATGATCTATTTCGGTGTTCCCTAATTCCTCGTTCACTTTTCTTTGGGATGGTCCTTCACTTTTTTAATTGATAACAGTTTAATCTCAATTTTTTTAATTTTAACAAAATAATCCTCAACATTATTAAATTAGTATAATTAAGGGTATGTTTTTTTTTTCTTAAAAAATTCAAAAAAAAATCACTCAAATTTTAATTTTATTTAAGTTCACGTTTTTTTAAGTTTCAATTTTATTTAATTTTATTTAAATTCTAACTTCAATTCAAGTTATAACTCAAATTCAACTCAAAAATTACGTTCAAATTACATTTCAAAAAGAACAACTCTTAAATTTTTTCAATCCCGTTAAATTTTAAATAGATATCTCACTTTTATAGTGAAGTTATAAAAATATCTCAAACATAAATCAACTCACTAATAATTAAAAACAAAAAACAAAAAAAAAACTAGAAAAAAGAAAACCGACTGGATTTTGCTGGGATTTGGACCCAAACTCGCCGCCCAGTTTCGTCACGGCAAGTCGTGATTTCAGTCGAGACGTCGCGACCGTCGCGATGTCGGGGGACGCGAATCGCGATGAACTTCGTGACGTCGATAGTAGCGAACCTACGTCGAAATCGCGACCCATAATGAATTGCTATGAAATCCGCCGCATAGGAATAGGTCCTGACGAAATTGCGCCGATCTCCTCCGTGGGTCAACGGAAATCGCGATCTTCGACGCGATGAAATTTGCTGCGCGACGGGTCTTGACGAAATCGCGCCAATCTCTTCCGTGGGCCAACGGGTCGCGAAGAAATCAGGCTTTCCGTTGTGAGTTGGAGGTCGCCGACAAAAACGGGCCACCTGGAGGTCGCTGCTGGCGTTTAAGAGAGAGTCAAGATCTGTTTTTTTGGGACGAAGATGAGGATGGAGGTTTTAACTCTCTGCTTCAACACTTATTTTCTCCAACTTGGTATGTGGGGGCATCTCTAATCCAATTAAAGGCAACCCTTGGACTCTTTTTTGTTTTCCTTCTCAATTTATGAGTTTACGTTTTTTTTTCTTTTTGTTTTCATTTCCTTAAAAAATAAAAATACCCTTACCTTAATATTTTACTGAAATATCTTCTTATAAGATCACATGTCTTATAGATGATTAATTTTATTAAAAAATTAATAAAATTAGACAAAAAAAAATTTTAATTACACCAATTTAATAACTTTAGGACTATTTTACTAAAATTTAAAGAATAAGAACCAGAGACCATCCATCCAATTACCTTTTCTTTTTAGTTGTTACTTTTCGAAAAGAAAAAGAAAAATAAAAAAACGAATACCCAGCCAAATGTCGAATTCAATGTCGTCTCTATCTTTGAATTCAAATATTCAATCTGCATGTTGCTCACCGCCACGGCAGGAGTTCCTGGCGCCGCTGTTGTACATTTCCGGCAAATGCGGTCCTGTTTTCTGGTTTCTCTTCCCCCTTATTTTCAGCTATTTGTTTTATTTATTTCTTTTGGAGGAGAAACATTTCAATCGTGTATTGCTTCTACTTGTAAGTTCTAAGTAGCTTACGAATTTGATTACGAAGTTAACTATCTTCCGAGTGCCTCTTCTTAGTTTCGTAAAAGGTGTTATATGAATTTATTAGAGAATTTGTGTTCGTAGAATTTCTCAGTCGTGAGGAAGGAAGTTTCCGGATTAATGGCTAGGCAAACCTATGAATTACCAGCCAAGAGTTTTAGGTAAAGAAAAGTATGCAAATGGGATGATGAGCGTTAGCATATTCTTTAGGCGTCACGAAACAAATAGGTATGAGCGTTAGCATATTCGTTAGGCGTCATGAAACAAATAGGTTTCTGAATGTTTTTAGGGCAACAGAAGATTACTAAACTTACTCTTAAAAAGTACATCGTTTAGATTTTTATTTTTATTTTTAATTGATATTTTTTTATTAATATAATTATTTAACTAAATATATATTAATTAAAAATAAAAAATAAAAATTAAGACCGGACACATCCTCCTCAGACTACACCTCCATCTACAATGACTAAAGTTCCTCCCAGCTGGTACAGTAACTTTTGTTTTATTTTGCATAAGTCAAAAGTGTAATAATAGTCTGTCTGCGACTTCACCGAAAGTGGTTCTATCTTTATCCGCTTTACTTGTACAGTAATTTTTGTTTTATTTTGCATAAATCAAAAGTGTAATAGTAAACTGTCGGCCACTTCACCGAAAGTGGTTCTATCTTTATCCGCTTTACCTAAATTCTTGTGAAAGCCCAACTGTCTGGCCCTACCTCATGACAAGTAAGGCTCACCGGATGTGCTAATGTTAAGGATACATGGGCACGATCTCAGATACTCTAAATTAAGTAGTAGGCTAATATGAGCTTCTTTTCATTTCTTGTACCACCTCTATATGTATCATCAAAGTAAACGGTTTTGAGAATGCGAGTAAATACTAAATAGTCCCTCAAAAGCAGAAGAGATCGCTAGCTTGTTGCTATCTTGTTCCAGGAATCTGCAGTCATTAGATACTGATAACTCGCTGTCATCAACAAACAGTTCAGCTGGGCAAGGTATGCCTTTCAAAATTTGCAAAGATGAACTTCAATTGCTTTATGCACAAAACGGAAAAGGAATAAAAAATAAAAATAAAGAGAATGAAACAAAGAAAAAAAATTAATTGTAAGCTCATTTTGTTTATACTTCCTATTTCCCTTATTTTTATCGCTTCCTTAGATTTTGTATTCACGCTGTTGTCTTTTTTGCATTGCTATTGTATTATGTTGTATGTTATTATTACTATTTTTTTTATTTTTATTTTTTATAAATTATCACGTTCTCTTGGTTCAAAGAAGAACGTTAGGGAAGAAAGTGGAAAGAAAGTGCTCTTCACCTTTGATACAGATGTAATATAGCCCGTTTGCTTGAGGAGCTTGGTCGATTCTCTCTTTGTTGCATTGCATTTTTGACTTGTGTGTATATCGTATATATTATATAAAAAGAGCTAACACAGGAAGAATATATCTTGCTATTTTTTTTTTTTGGGTTGTTTTTAATCTTGTTAGTTTGACTATTTAAAGATCTTTCTTGATTTTTTGTATGTTCTTGTCTTTCAGATCAGATTGTCTCGGTTGTTCCAGCTGCAATTTGTAGAAGTCACCCTAAAAAGATAAGATTGACTAATCTTGTCTTTTTGGTGTGGGCATTCTTTTTCTGTTTATTTCTCTTTACAAGTTTTCTCCTCCTGGATATTTTTTTTTTCATTTCTTGTATTGTAGGTACAATTATAGGTACTCCACAAAAAAAAAAAAAACAAAAACAAAAAAAAAAAAAAAAAACAAAAAAAAAAAAAAACAGGAGAAAAGAGAAATATGGATCTTTGTTTATCAATCTCTTCAACATTATCAGAAATCATAGTGGCACCAGTTTGGAGGCATCTGAGTTATGCAATCTACTACAGAAGGAGCATTAGACATCTTACAAGTCAAGTGGAGACTTTGAGTGATAGAAGAAGCACTATTCAAGAGCAAGTTGATGCAGCAGAAAGAAACTTAGAGAGAATACCTCCGGATGTTCAAAGATGGCTGGAGGATGTGGGGAAAAAAATTGAAGAAAAGGAGACGTATTTTACGGAAGAAAGAGTATCAAATGCCTGGTGCTTCAATGGGTGGTGTCCAAATTTGAAGTCACGTTATTACTTGGGTAGAAAAGCCAAGAGGATGTCTCTGGTGGTCAATGATTTCCTTCAATGTGGGAACTTCCAAACTGTATCCCTTCCTGCTCTTCCTCCAGGGAGAACATCTGTAGCTACACATTACTCTGAGGCTTCAATTCAAGCAGCGAGTACGATCCAGGAAGCTGGCACCTCCTCTGTCACGCCACAATCTGCTTCTGCTTACACTACAGCTGGCACCTCCTCGGAAGCGCCAAAATCTGCTTCTGCTTACACTGCTTTTGAGTCACGAGCTTCACTTATTGAAGCGGTCATGCATGCTTTGAAGGATGATCGGACCAATCCAATTGTTATATGGGGGATGGGCGGTATTGGCAAGACGACCTTGCTGAAAGAAGTTTTTAAGAGGGCAAAAGGTGAAGGTATTTTTAACGAAGTTGCGATGGCGGGTGTTGGACGAAATCCTGAATTCAAGAAGATTCAAGGTGATATTGCTGAATTTCTGGGTTTGACACTTTCTGGATATAATTTGTCTGCAAGAGCATTTAAGTTATCTGAAAGACTAGATTGTGACAAGAAGGTCCTTGTGATATTAGATGATGTTTGGGAAAGAATTGATTTTGAGGAAGTAGGAATTCCACCGTTCGGGAATTGTAAAATTTTGATATCATCCAGGAATCAAGACATATACATGGAGATGGAAACCAAGATGAACTTCTTTGTTGGGCTTTTGCAACCGCATGAAGCTTGGAGTCTGTTTAAGGAGATGGCAGGAAGTTCCATTGAATCACCTGAGTTGCGCACTACAGCAGAGCAAATTCTAAGTGAATGTGACCGTTTGCCACTAGCAATCTCAACAGTCGGAAGGGCACTGCACGGAAAAAGTAAACCAACTTGGAACGATGCGCTTAGACAACTAAGAAGAAACAGCCCACAAAGCATTCCAGAAGTGTTGCCAAGGGTTTATTCAAGACTAGAGTTTAGTTATGACTGTATGGAAAAAAAAGATGCAAAATCACTTTTTTTGTTTTGCTGTCTGTATCCAGAAGGGAGTGACATAAGGGTAGAAGATTTGGTTAGACATGGAGTTGGGCTTCAACTATATGAAGGGATTACATCAATGGAAGAAGGAAGGGATCACGTTGGAGCGTTGATTGAGGAGCTAAAGAACCGCTCTTTGTTGTTAGATAGCAACAAAAAAGAATGTGTCAAAATGCATGATGTGGTACGTGATGTTGCCTTACATATAGCTTGTCTTCGTTTCCAGCAAAATGATTCTTCTCGCAATGAAAATCGGTTTTTTGTAAGACATGGAGTGGAACTAAATGGATGGCGAAGCGTGGATGGAACTGGTGCACAACAATACACTTGCAGTGCGCTGATAACCAAGGGAACACATGGAGATGTTGCTGAGCTCTTATTGTTATCAAAAGGTGGAGGTACTTTTAACGAAGCTGCTCTAGAAGGAATGGAAAAGCTCAAGGTTTTAGAGATTAAGAACGCAAGTTTCTTGTCAAAAGGTGGAGGTACTTTTAACGAACCGCTTAAGGTTTTGGAAAGTCTTCAAACACTGTGTCTGGAGCATGGCGTGTTGGGTGATGTATCAATTATTGGAGAGCTTCGAACGCTAATGATACTCAGCTTACGTGGCTCTTATATCAACCAGTTACCAGTTAGCTTCAGAAATTTGGCCAATCTATGGTTGCTAGATTCCACTGGATGCATAAGTGAAAAACAAATTTCGTCAGGTGTCATTTCAAGTTTACGCAACTTACAAGAATTATACACACTTCGGCAGGTAGTGGCCACGTGCCCCCACTGGAATTATACCTACAACAATTTTGATTTCCCTTTTAACTAGTGCCTTCACAGTCTCTAAAATCCCGTCAAACTATTCTCCTTCTTTATTCAATTTTTAAAACTTTTTTATTGCCAAAACAAAATCATGACCATCATTCACTTTTATCACAATTATTATTTTTTCGTTTATATTAATTTCTGTTCCGAAACGTCAAAGTTTAACATTCTTAACATAATTACTTCTCTTTCTATATATCCTTATTTCTCTCAAAATACCAACTCTTCTTAGGTATTATTATGATTATAATATTGATATTATCTAAGAAAATCCCTTTCTCTTTTTTGTTGAGTGACAAAAAAAAAACCCTTCAAATTAATATATCAATTTTCTATTCTCCGTAAACTTTTCTGTGTAGATATTAAGTATTATGTATGTATTTATATTTTTTATATTTTAGATTCATGATATTATATTAAAATATGTACAATAGTCTATTTTTAAAATATTTTTTTTCCATATCCTTAAATCCTTAAAAAAGATAAACAAGAATAATGCAAAATCAAAATGTTGGACTTTATCGAGGTTAGTTCTAATACGTAGTTAATAAAATTTTATTATTAAGCATATTAGACGTTCATTTTTTGTTTCTGATACATAAATTTTTCTTTAAGGTGTGTTTTGGATTTGTCACTGGACTTGAGGACTGTTTCATGCCAACTGAGGTTGTCCCAGAATTACTCTCCCTCTGTCACTTGACTACTTTAGAAGTTCATCTACCGAAAATCAGTTTTGAGTCTCTGCAAAGTAGTTCATCTACCGAAGTTCATCTATTTGATAGGCTGGAAAGATTTAAGATTTGTATTGGGCACAGGCAGAGGCAGGTACGGACGCATGTAGTGGCCAGTGGAGGCACGTGCCCCCACTGGAATTAATTTTGATTTCCTTTTAAAATTGTGTCACGCAGGTAATGTCAACTGCTGTCCCCTTAAAGTTTTAACTAGTGCCCTTCACAGCCCCTAAAATCCCGTCAAACTATTCTCTTCTTTATTCAATTTTTAAAACTTTTTTTGCCAAAGCAAAATCATGACTAACATCCATTTTATCACTCAATTAAATTTTATTTTTTTCCTAAACTTTAGTTTCTTTGTCACTTTTTTCCAAATTTTAAAAATTAGTCTGCGCATCCCTCCAACTTTAAAACGTTTTTAACGCTGTCCCTTATGTTAATTTTATTAACTGATTTGACGATATGCGATTATTGTGAGGTAGTTTAATAAATTATTTTCGCAAGCCTCCTAAAGTATGTACCTTATTTAAAATGTCACCTTATTTATGAAAACATATCAAAATAACCCGTAATTTATAGAAAACATAACAATTATATTGATGCTATTAAAAATTAATTACACATATTAAATTCTAATGAAATCAGTGAAAGTGATTAAATAGTAAAAGTAGTAAAAAAAATATAAGAACACATTACTTTAAAAAGTTCAAAAATTAAATAAATCAACTATTTAAAAAAACCAAAAAAAGAGGAATTTGCTTTTTTGAAAAGCTTACTTCCTCTTTTTCAATATTTATTTAATTTTGAAAAATTGTCCTCTTTTCTTATTTTGATTTTTGAAAAAAAAAATTGATTTATTTAATTTTTTTAATCCTTTAAAGTAAAGTGTTTTATATTATTTTTAATATTTAATCACTTTTCTTGATTTAATTTGAATTTAATATATTTAATTAATTTTTAATGGCATGTCACGTCAATGAAGGTGTTATTTAATTTATGTTTTCTATAGAGTAGGGGGAATTTTGATTTATTTTAATAGATCAATGGGTATTTTTAAAAAGGGTACATACTTCGGGAGTATTTATGAAAGTAATCTATTAAACTATCCCTCTAATAATTGTCACTCATTAAGTCTGTTAATCAAATCAATAGAGTGACAAAGTTAATAACGTTTCAAAGTTTGGGGGGTTTACATATTACTTTTCAAAGTTCGGGAGAAAAAATGACAGAGAGACCAAAATTCAGGGGTGAAAATAAAATTTATCCTTATTATTATTTCATTTTATTAACTTCTATTATGAAACCGTCAAGTTTAACATTCTTAACATAGTTATTTCTCTTTCTATATATACTTATTACTCCTAAAATACTAACCCCTCATAAATATTGTTATGATTATAATAAGGATATTATCTAAGAAAATCCTTTCCTCTTTTTTGTTGACTGACAAAGAAAACCCTTTAAATATATCAGATTTTCATTCTACGTGAGCTTTTCTCTGTAGGAGATTAAGTATTATGTGTGTATTTATATTTTGTATATTTTAGATTCACGATATTGTATTAAAATATGTACAATAAACTATTTTTTCAGTGTTAAATTTTACTTTAAACTGTTATATAGAAAGTGTTAAAAATTTAATCATCCCATATCCTTAAAAAAGATAAATAATAGTTGAAGGGTATGTTTTTATCCCAGTGTCACAAATGGTGTTACAACACTGGTTGTGACACTAATGACAGTAAAAGTATACACATATCTGTTTTTTTTTTTTAATTTAGTTTCAGTGATTGTGAGTGCAATAAAATAACAGAAAGCATAAAGAACACACGAAAATGGTATTGCAGTTCGGTGCGCACACCTATTCTGCGTGGCCACGCTTAGACAGTGAACAATCTACTAAGATAAAGAGATTACAAACACCAATCGGTCTTACACACTCAAAGACTCCCTCTTTGATGTTGTCGCCGTTGTGGAGAATCCTCTTAGTGGCCTTGTCCAGCGAGCACTACTCGTCTTTGAAAACTTTCTGCCGAAAGCAATACATTATTCTCCCGAAGAACCACCTTTTGTTTAATTCACTCAACAAGTATCAAAACAGCCTTTTGTTGCGGAATATATCATTCAAAAGCTCTCCCACGTTCATCGCTGCAAACCAAATATATACACTCCAAAATGGTCAATAGACCCATCTATTCTCCCACCAAAATCACCCTAAACAAAACAACTTCTCCTCAACGGATTCTTTCCAAAAGAGCCTCATCAAATAGCCACCAAAAGTCAAACCAATCAGCTCCATAGCTGATTTCCTTTTATGGTGGAGAATCATTCCAAATCTGGTGCAAACAGCCTGAAATAGACTTCCCATATCTGTCCAAAAACGCCAAAAATGAACTTGACCCTGTTTTTGAATTTTGTACAACCTCCAAAATATGCCAACAGAGGGACAAAGTTAATAACGTTTCAAAACTTGGGGGGTTTGCAAATTAATTTTCAAAGCTTGAGGGAAAAAATGACAAAGAGACAAAAATTCAAGGAGCGAAAATAAAATTTTTCCTTATTATTTTTTCATTTATATTAACTTTTGTTCCGAAACCTTCAAGTTTAACATTCTTAACATAGTTACTTCTCTTTGTATATATACTTATTACTCCTAAAATACTAACCCTTCATAAGTATTATTATGATTATAATAAGGATATTATCTAAGAAAATCCTTTCCTCTTTTTTGTTGAGTGACAAAGAAAACCCTTCATATATAACAGTTTTCTATTCTCCGTGAACTTTTCTCTGTAGGAGATTAAGTATTATGTATGTATTTATATTTTTTATATTTTAGATTCATGATATTATATTAAAATATGTACAATAAAATATTTTTTCCGTGTTAAATTTTATTTTTAAATTTTACTTTTAAATTTTACTTTAAACTGTTATATAAAAAGTGCTAAAAATTTAATCATCCCATATCCTTGAAAAAGATAAATAATAGTAATGCAAAATCTAAAAATTGGGCTTTATCGAGGTTAATTCTAATATGTAGTTTAATAAAATTTTATTATTAAGCATATTAGACGTTCATTTTTTGTTTCTGATACATAAATTTTTCTCTATTTGTGCCCCCCACCAAAGGCGAAGTCTTCCTACAAGCAACTGGATTTTGAGCCCCTGGACGTGGATCGTCAGCAGGACGTGGATCCTCAGCTGGACGTGGATTCTAGTCACAATATCTTGAGGTTAATTGATTTTGATGGAAATTCTCTTGCGGGGAGTTGCATTGTTAGGCTTCTGAAGAAAACTGAAACTCTAGAGTTGCAAATGAATGAGTTGACGACGGAGGCTCTCAATGTCTTGGATGGAGAATGCTTTTCGAAATTGAAATCTCTATTACTCATTGGCTGTAATGCTCTAGAATACGTCATTGACACGACATCCACAGTTCAATGCCATACCTTCCCTGTGTTGGATTCTCTGACTATTTTCGGGGCAAAAAGGATGAGAAAGCTTTGTAACGGCGAGAGTGCGGGGTTGTTCAAAGAACTAAGATGTGTCAAAGTAAGTTCATGTGCAAGTTTGACTTCTCTCTTTCCATTTTCTGTAGCTAGGGGCTTGCCTGAGCTTGAAGAGCTGGATATAGAACGTTGTCCAATGCTGGAAGAAATAATAGAGCTTGGAGAAGGAGATCAGCATGCAGAAAAAAAAGTCCCCGAGATGACGCTCCCAAATTTGATACATCTCAATCTTGTAAATTTACTAAACTTGGTATGTATCAGCAGAAATGTACCAGTGATCTCTTTTCCTCTTCTGGTATCCGTGAAGCTTCAGAACCTACCAGAGTTCGTCAGTCTATGTCCGAGCGTTTCAGCTTTAGCAAGTAGTAGCTCGAGTGCCACAACTAAGCCCTTATTTGACATCCAGGTATTATTCATTTGGTTTCTTTTCTTAATTCGACTTTAATCCGCTCGGATCTAGTACTTAACTTTGATGTTCCTTACTGCACTTTCTAAATGTTATTTCCTGATTTATAATTATCAAACCCCAATTAGATTGGGGAATATACCAAGTTTATAAATTTCAGTCGGCAACCGGAACCAAAATGAAGAAGTTTAAAATTTTAGGGCAAAAAGGCAAAAAGAAAAGGGTAAAAAAAGACTAAAAAGAAGAAATAAATAAATTTTAGGAAAAAATAGACTAAAATAAAAAAAATTAAAGTTTCAGAGAAAAAATAAAAAAGATATAAAAAAGGACCAAAATGAAAAATGAATAAATTGTAGGGCAAAAGGAACCAAACATTGAAAAAAAAAATCAGGAATAAAATAAAAAAATGTTAGAAAAGGACTAACATGAATGAATAAATAAGTTTAAGGACACTACTATAAAGTAATATTTAAGTAGAATAACATTTGTAAAAAGAAAAATTTAGGTAATGAAAGAAAAAAGTTAAAAAAGGCCAACAACGAATAAATATAAAATTCTGTGGAAAAAAAATAAAAGGAAAAAGAGAGGATGAAAAGAACAAAAAGAAAAAAAAATCAATAAAAAACGTGAACAGCGATCAAAACAGTGCGTTTTGGTCAGAAATGAACAGTGTTTATTGTTTCTTATTATTATGTATGGATTACTATTTTTATGTGAGTATAAAAATTCTATTTCGTTCTAAAAATGGGAAAAAAAGGAAAATATGGTATATAAGACTAGAACTTTGTTGATAAGGGTTACAATTTGGTATGTAATATAATGTGTCGTTTGGTTGGGGGATTCGTCTCCTGATTCGAATCATGGTTCGTGATTCGCTACAGTATTCGAAAATAATTCTAATCTCATGGTTCTAATCTATGAACCAAACGTTCTCTAGAAAGTCCCTTTATGTCCAGCCATTGAAATAGCTAGTGTCGTTAAATGAACAAAAAATGGATAACTTTGGCGTAAAGTATTTTTTTTATATTAACTAATATTTTTCTATTATAGTTACTTTTAGTTTTAGGATATCAAATAAAGCCTCTTCAACCTTATATCTAATACAACATTTCTTTAATCAGCGTAGAAAATTTGTTCGGAACATTAGGAAAAGCTAAGAGAAAATTTCATGTCCCCAATTTCTCGGCCTGTTAATAATTATAAGAAACAAGTAAGATTACGGCAGGTAACGTATTAAAATGAAAAATTGTGTAGGTATTTATATGTACTATCACATCGAAACTAATATGATAAACCAAAATAACTCTGTTATAACTTTGATTGATTCCTTCACAAATCAAAAGTTTGTACTAGGACAAAATTAAGGCAGTGTTGATTTACCCTAAGGCCATTTTTCTGATTCCATTTGCTTTTATTGGTAAAAATAACGAAAAAGCAGAAGTCATCATTCATCATTGGCTAATGTTTTTCAGACCCATTATCTATTAATTACAAAGCTTATAATTTGGGATGGAGGATTCCAACTTGTAGTCTCAATGTTGGAGGTTTGTATAGATCCGACCAGGCTAAACTTAAGAGCCCTTTAGAATCATTTGGATCTTAGGAGAATCTTTGTTAAGTAACACTTTTTTTTTTTTAGTTTTTTAATTGAAAAATCACATTAATGACCTACAGGATGAGTCATTTCTTCAGCTACGATTTGTGGAGGTGATCTACTGTACAACAATCTCGAGTATCTTTTCATCTAGTTTGATGCCCAATTTGCAGAATTTAGAACATCTCAAAGTAGAACATTGTCGCTCACTGGGAACATTATTCAACGTTGAAGATATTGCCATGGAAGCAGAGCGTGATTCTACAATGCTTTCTTGCTTAGAAAAAATGGAGCTGATTGGTCTACCTATGTCGGAATCCATCTGGAAGACAGAGTGGGAAATAACAACATTTAAAAATTTAGAGTTGCTCCGTATTAAAGATTGTGATACATTGAGATCAGTGTTCCCACTCCGCATGCTTATGCAAAGATTGCAGCATCTGAAGCATTTCAATGTGGAAAACTGTCGATCACTTGTGACATTATTCAACTTCGAAGATATTGCTATGGAAGCAGAGCTTGATTCTACAATTCTTTCTTGCTTAGAAAAAATGGAGCTGATTGGTCTACCTATGTTGGAATCCATCTGGAAGACGTCGAAAATAACAACATTTATGAATTTAGAGTTTCTCCATATTAAAGAATGTGATAAATTGAGCTCAGTGTTCCCACTCCGCATGCTTATGCAAAGTTTGCAGCATCTGAAGCATTTGAAAGTGGAAAACTGTCGATCACTTGTCACATTATTTGACTTCAAAGATCTTGCTAGGGAAGCAGAGCTTGATTCTACAATGCTTTCTTGCTTAGAAAAAATGGAGCTGATTGGTCTACCTATGTTGGAATCCATCTGGAAGACGTCGAAAATAACAACGTTTATGAATTTAGAGTTTCTCCATATTAAAGAATGTGATAAATTGAGCTCAGTGTTCCCACTCCGCATGCTTATGCAAAGTTTGAAGCATCTGAAGCATTTCAATGTGGAAAACTGTCGATCACTTGTCACATTATTCGACTTCAAAGATCTTGCTAGGAAAGCAGAGCTTGATTCTACAATGCTTTCTTGCTTAGAAAAAATGGAGCTGATTGGTCTACCTATGTTAGAATCCATCTGGAAGACAGAGTCGAAAATAATAGCATTTCAAAATTTAGTATTTCTTCAAATTCAATCTTGTGGAATTTTGAAATGCGTGTTCCCACTGTACATTGCTGAAAGGCTAGTAAATCTAGAAGAGTTTCTGATAAGTTTTTGTGGGTCGATGGAAGAAATCATTTGCAGAAACGAAGGCAATGGAGTTGATGAAGTTGAAACGCGGAACGGAGAATTGTTTTCTCAATTAAAGGTTCTGACACTTAAATACTTAAATGGTCTTACAAGGTTTTGTGGTGCTACGTCTACTATTGAGTTGCCATTATTGACAGAGTTGCAAATGATCACCGTCCCGACTCTCAAGACATTTGTTGCAAATCAGTCGTATAATACCACGGAATCTCAGTTTCGATCGCACATTTTCAATGAAATGGTATGTATTGCACTCAACCATCCTTCCACATGTTCCACTCATAATTCCTGTTAGAGATACTTGATGTCCATCATATCATTTTTTGTTGTTGTTGTTCATGCGCTATATATATGTCATCATCCCTGTGGTTCGGGTCTTTTGCGTAACAGTTGTTAGTATTACACTTCAACAATGATGCTACAGTTTAAAACTTTATAAAGCTAAACTATCAATCATATTTGCATATATGTTATAACATGAAATCTGAATAAACATAAAAGAAATTAGCAATATAGTATTAGGTTAGTCAATCTCACAATAGCTCTGGGAAAATGTATAATGATTAAGAATTAGTGAAAGCTTAAAGCAACAGAAAAATAAAAGAGCAAAGAAAAAGAATCTAAAATTCAATTGCCTTCAATCTCCATTTAAACCTCCAAAACTACCCTAGAGTATATTTCCAAAAACTTGGGACTAAACTATGGAACTGGGAAATCTTTGGATTATTGCTCTGCTTCTTACCCACGTGCCAAAAGAAAGTAAAAGAATATCAAGTGTTGCAGAAAATCTGAAGGTATATAAAAAGAACTCCTTACGACTGTCCATAAACTTGAAATGGACGAGGTGATGATATTCCCACGATGTTGTCTTACATGTGAAAAGCTAGAAATAGAGTAACTGTAAGATAGTCAGAGAGTTTATAAGTCCTTAGGTCCTCCCTTCCTTGTAAGCCAGCTTTTAAGGAGAGTACCTAATGCCTAATGGTTCCTATGTAAGATGTTGTTAGCTCAAGAGAATCCAAAGTAGGATATTAATTAGGATTATTTTCATAAATGTTTTTGAACTATGCATCCTAATTCAAATTATCCCTGATTTTTTAAAATGATTCAAAACATCTTGGATCTATAAAAAATGGTTCAATATGCCTATTCTGTCTCAGTCCGTCTATAACACTGACATGTTTGCTGACATGTCAAATCTTAAATATTACTGAAACGATATTAAGTTTGGCATAATATATCAAATTAAATATTAAAAAATAACAATACAAAACTTATTTCAAATAGAAAAAGAAAATGTTTCGGTGTGTTTGGAATTGGTTTTAAATTGTTTTTAAAATCATTTCGGCACGTCTTTTGAGACACAAAAATGAAAACGGTTTGCAAACCGTGTTTGTTTAGTAAATGTTTTGAAAACAAACACGAAAAATAAAAAACAGTGAGAATAGTTTTTGTGAAGGAATTAGAAAACGGTTTCCTTTTTCTGTTTTCATTTTTTAGTACTTATTAACAATGTTATAACCAAACACGATTTTATTTTTTTATTGTACTCAAAATAATCTCTTAAAAATCCAATCAAACGCAATTTCAAAATCGATCACATAACTCAAAACAATCTCATAATCTTATTTTTATTTTTGTATTAAAAACAAAATCATTTTAAAAAATTACTAAACAGGCCCTTCGTTTGGCAGCAGAGCAGGGTGGAGGATTGATAGTGCCGAATCCGGTGCCAATTTTGTGGCCCATGAGATTGCAAAGTTTGGTCTCTTGTCAGGCTCATCCTATTGTTGGATTAATTAATGAGATACCAAACTGGATTACCAATATTGTCTGTAACGACTTTTCTCCCTTTCATTGAAACCTCACAAGTTTACTTTCACCAAAAAACAAAAAAAAAAAAAAACTTAAGAACTACAAAAATGAAAAGGAAAACTGCTCTCTCTCTCTCTCTCTCTCTCTCTCTCTAGGTTAGAGCAGATCTCGAAAGTTGTGGGGGTGGGTGGAGTTGGGGGACTCGATTGAGAGCGGATATTGGAGGTGGATGGCAGATGTTGTTGGTGAAGAAACTCGGCGACGATTTCGGACTTGTGGCACAGGAGGATGAGAGTGGCGGAGAAGGGCTGGACACCGGAGGTTGATGCTCAAGTGACTGGTTTTCTCAGATCTGAGATCTTAGAAGTTTTTTATTTTGTTTTTAAATGATTTTTTAATATTCAAAATTAGTATTAGAAAATAATTTTAATCTTTTTTAGTAATTAATCATTTGTTAGAGATTAATTGATATTGTTTTCAGATTAATTAAGTTTTAATACGATAATCATGGAATATGTGAGTGTTATAGACGAAATTGGACGGAGCGGCGTTTTGAATCATTTTCTATAAATGAGGGGTGTTTTGAATCATGAGGCATTTTGAATTAGAGTACATACTTCGGAAGTAATTATGAAAATAATCTTATTAATTATTCTCTCAACGTCAAAGATGTTCGATTTCATTATTTGAGTCAAGGGATAAGCCTAGTGACGTGATATTGGTAGTTACTTCCATGTACTTTTTCATGTCTATCTATATTTGCTTCCGTATTAACATAATTCAACGTATTGCAGGTTCATACTCCAAAGTTAGAAAAACTAGTACTCCATGAAATGTTTGACTTGGAAGAGATATGGAGCACAGAAAGCATGCAAACAAGCAACAAAGATGGCAGAGCAAGTCCAAGATTTCATAATCTAATTACAATAGAGGTTTACCGTTGTGACAGTTTGGAATTTCTACTCCCGTATTCCATTGCCAAGGGTCTCATCAATCTCAAACATCTAAAGGTATATGGTTGCGAGTCGATGGAACAAATAATCTACGAAACACCAACTGAGGTAGAAGAAACTGGGGACAAGAGCATTCTCCCGCAGTTAGTTGATTTGGTGCTTTCTTTCCTACCAGAGTTGACGAGCTTTTGTCTGGGAAAATACAATTTTGACTGGCCGAATATGATAAAAGTTCTTTTTCGAGGTTGCCCCAAAATGGAGGCTTTCTGTTTTGGATTGGTTCATACACCAAAGCTGGAAAGGGTGTATTTAGATGATAATGTAGATGGTAATAGTAGTAGACATATTTGGAAGGGAGACCTTAAGAGCACCATACAGTACCTTTCAAGATGAGAGGTATGTTTTACTATACATCTTTTGCAAGGACTACCATCTATGTTCATTAGTATAGGTTCTCTCATTTATTGTGTTTCTGCTTGTGCAGGAATTGAATGTCTTTTCTATCTATAATTTTGCATAAAACAATATTCCAAAATCTGAAGATTTTATAATTTTCTCTAGTCAAGTAATTGAGATATTAATTTATGGAAAATGTCAAGTACTGTAGCAAACAGGGACTAACCCTCAACAGAGGCTAAATTCACGTAATTAATTAAAAAAATTTGCATTAGCAAACAGCAAATTTTTTGTCCCATTTTCATTTTTAAATGTCAGGGTACAATTTTAATATTATTAAAACCGTAGAATACCCCCAAAATAATCGCAAAGAAGGCAGGTTGCTAATATGATAATTATCCATATTTTAAGTTGTGGTATGCACATTATGAGTGCAGGCTTAAACCGAGTTCAACCACTCTCATCAAGCCAGTGCTTCAAAAGAATGCCTTCTTAGTTCTTAGACTATGTTGAAATTCCTTCTGATCATGTGTGCAGTGAACTAGATGCAACTGTCTGGAAACTTCGGCCAAGCTGTTTGCGGTCATCAGATTCTGGAGGTTTGAAGACAGAAACTCAGATTTCCTAGCAAAGGTTGATCAAAATAGCCCGTGGTGAAATTCTCCTGTTGTTCGTTACTCTCTTGACGCGGAAATGCTGTCAAGGCCTGAATTTCCAGAGTAGTTAGACTGACTAACATGTTTGTTTTGCTCGGAGGGTTATGTTTGGAGCCGGAGACAAGTTGAGTGAAGAATGCTGAGATTTGTGGACATGGTCGGTATTGGTTGGTTGGTTGACTTCTAAACAGATTTCCTCGTTTTTCTGCTCAAACAGGACTTAGAACTAGAAGTTTCAAGCGGTTGAAGATAAGTGGTTGTAGTGGTTGTTTTTTGTTGTTCTGTGTGGAGAGTTGTGCATAGAGAAGTTCAGTGCAGGGAGGCCAAGAAAACTTATTTCCTTTTGGGGTGTGATTCTGTCTTTTTAAGCCTGGGATTTTGTAAAAAAAAAAAACAAAAAAAAAAAAAAAAACAAAAAACAAAAACAAAAAACAAAAACAAAAACAAAAAAACATGGGATTTTCTTGCTTAGTTTCTGTTTTGGAAATGAGATATTTGTCTGTTAAACACTCTTAAATTCTTCGTTTGTAGTGGATTTCCTTCTTGGCCTCCTGTGGATGTAGGTCAATCCTGACCGAACCACGTAAAACCTTTGTTGTCATTTTTCTTTATTTTGTCTCGTCTTCTTCACTAAAATCAGTTTAGTTGAATTCTAAGGTCGATAATTAAAACATGCTGGTATGTTATTAACAACAACTTGGTATAAGAGCTAACAATGGAATGAGAAAGATCAATTCTCAATTCTCTCGTTAGTTTGGTTAGTTACTTAAATTACAAGTCAAATAGGAGTTAGTTAGAAGGTTGATTAGTAATGATTGTGTTGATTTGTTGTGTTATTATGTGCGTAGAGTAATTAGAGGCAATAACAGAGTATAAATAGAGGAGGAATCAGTTAGTAAGGCAGGGAATTAGTAGGGAACTATGCAGCCAAACCTGAGAGGAAGTGCCATACGACTGGAAATCCTATCACAAATTGGTATAACCCATTTCCTCCGTTTTCTTTGATCCATTAAAGTTCTCAATTTCTCTGATGTTACTGAAATTCTTAGGAAAATTAAGGTTTCCTATCATCGAAATGCCAAGATACACAGTTGCCACAAGACGTAATGCTTTTTACAAGAAAGGTGCCTCACCAAACCGGAAAGAAATGTAACTGTATAAAAGAAATATAGCTTTAAAGAAAAGAAAAAGTAGAATTATCATCACTGACACCCCTTAGTTTTGGAGCCATTCTCAGTTTGTCTCTCAAACTTTAAAAATTCTTACTTTGTACTCTTAAATTTTGAATTTTTCCCCTTAACCCCTTATGTTGGAAATTCTAATGAACGGAGATAAAGTAGAACTAATTTAAAATTAAAAAGGTAAGGTGACATTTTTTAAAACTTAGGAGGTAAATTAAGAATAATCTCAAAATTCATGGAGCACCGATGAGTTTAACCCTCAACACTTAAAACTCTTCTCTTCTTCCCGCCATAACCTATAAAAAGAAAGGTATGACAGAAAGAAGGATAAATTATAGTGGCTAGAACTCACACTCGTGAATATCCTTGGGGGAATGGGGAATGCAATAGAGTTTTACCTTTTCCCAAAGTAAGAGCATGATGTCTATCACAATTTGGCGAAAAACAACAAATAGGAATTGGCAAAGATCCTTGAGAAAGACAGACACAGATAGAGATGCCGTTTCTCTAACTTGAAACGCATAAACAACAAAAGGGAGAGGAGAGGAAGACAATGGACTATCAAGTAAGCATATAAGCATATCCATTGCCACCCTTTCCTCCATGATTTTACAACCACTCTCTCGAATGGCCCGCCATTACCTCTTTTGCCTAGATATCGTTGTACCCTTTAATTTTGTATCGACATGGGAAAACAATTTCTGTACTATTCTTTCTTTTTTTTTTTATCTCAAATTCTTAAAAAATAAAAAATAATAAAAAAAGGTTAAGCCATTCCCAGTAAATCAAGTACTAGGTTTTTGCATGCGAACAACCTTTGGACATAGATAAATAGGCCCCCAAAAAGGGCTCTTTTGACAGGGGAACGGCAACAGCGGCGAGTTAGTTAAATGAATTTAAAAGAAATATTAGTATCGCTCTTTTTATCATTCTTTTTTGTTATTTTTTGCATTCACTAATTTGACACGTGGATTCCCCTAACTATAAATACGCGTGAAATTTCCTTTTTTTTTTTTTTGTTTCTTTTATTCTTCTCGTTTGTCATGAGCACAACATCTTTTAGTGGGATTAATCAACATTGATATTTGTCTTATAAGCCTAAGCCAACATTTCTCTCTGCCACACCTAGAGCTGCTGTTTGTTGGACCATTTCCAACCATGCTCGACATTTAATATCTTTAACTAAAATAGTTAGGGGTTGTTCTTTTACAATTTTGAGTTAAGGTGACTTGAGTGATGATCTTGAGTTGAGTTTGAGTTATAACTTGAGTTGAAGTTGTAACTTGAGTTTGTGTTTAGATGTGCACATTTGAGTTATGATTTGAATTGAGAATCTTTTTGAGTTTGTGTTTGAGTGTGTCAAAACTTAAATTTGTATTTATATAGTATTTTAATAAAAACTCAATAGTGATGAAAATTTTTAATAGGGTATATGGATTGAGTTTTATTCGTCTTTTCATTATGAATGCATAGAAAAAAAAATCACCTTAATCAGAATTAAAACGAAAAAGTTATGACATTTTAGAGAATAGAAAAAATATTGTTCATTAACTTGAGTTCGAGTTTATGAACTCGAGTTAAAAGGGAAATTTTGACTCGAGTTTAATCTCAAACTCGAGTTTAAACTCAAGTTCAAACTTAAATTTTATAAAAGAACATAAACTTGAATAAAGTTATAACTCGAGTTTAAATTTTGTCTGAATTTAATCGCAAAAAAATAACCCCTTAATTATTTAGTTTTTTTGACTTTTCTCAACTCCAATCTTGTTAAATAGTTAGCTATTATTCTAAAATAGTTAAAGCATTGCTACCAAGAAAAAGCTAGTCATCATTTTTTTTATTATTTAATTCTTTCAAGCAGTAATAAATTCTTTCATTTTTTATTAGTTAAAGCGTGGTGTTAAATGAATTTATTAGAGAATTTGTGTTCGGAGAATTTCTCAGACGTGAGGAAGGAAGTTTCCGGATTAATGGCTAGGCAAACCAATGAACTATCAGCCAAGAGTTATTATTATTATTATTATTATTATTATTATTATTATTATTATTATTATTATTTTTATCGTTGTTATCGTTATTATCGTTATTGTTATCGTTATCGTTATTGTTATCGTTATTATTTTGTTAGGTAAAGAAAACTATGAAAATAGGACCACAAGCATTAGCATTTTCTTTTGATGAAATAAATAGGCTTTTCGAATGTTTTTGGGGCAAGAGAAAATTACTAAATTTATTTTTAAAAGTGTATTAATCTGAATTCTTATTCTTATTCTTGATTGATGTTCTTTTGTTAATATAGTTATTTAACTAAAAAAGTATTCAAGGAGATAAAAATATAATATCTTAAGAATAAGGATTATTTATCAAGATTCTTCTTTCAACTATATTTAGTCTATCTGGCCCTACCCATGACAAATAAGGCCCACCGGATGTGTTAATGTTAAGGATACATGGGCTGATATGAGCTTCTTTTAATTCCTTGTACCACCTCTGTATGTATCTTCAAAGTCAACGGTTTTGAGAATGGGGGTAAATACTAAGGGTCCGTTCACTTTACTGATTCGAGTTTATAACTTAAGTTGAGATATAATTTTATGCGAGAATTTTTTACTGTAGCAAAAAAGTTAGATGTGACTATTTCTGAGAGCTTTTTACTGTAACAAAACTCAAATTCTAAATTCGAACCGGTGAAGTTAACGGGGCCTAAATAGTCCCTCAAAATGTGGACTTTTTGGCTACAAGGACCCCGGATGGGTCCTAGATGAGGACCAACTATTCAAATGAAATTGACAGCAAGGAAAGAGATTTGTTGATGTTGTTGTGATTGTCTTCATTATTGGCAAGGAAAGAGATTTGTGTTTTCAACTATACATTTGTATTTCTAAAGAAAATGCAGATCCTGTTTATTTCGCTGATTCGAGTTTCGAATTTGAGTTTTGCTACAGTAAAAAGCTCTCACAAATAATCACATCTAACTTTTTTACTACAATAAAAAATTCTCACATAAAGTCACATCTCAACTCGAATTAGTGAACTAAACGGGCCCGCAGTTTCATCTTCTAAAGGACCTAGAATTTAGCCATCTATATAGGTACAGTGATGATTTTTCAGGGGGCTTCATTTGATTCAAATTTTAAAACTGAAATTAGTGACGTTTACATTTTTTTTATACATATTTTATTGCAAATCCTATTTATTTATGGTTTTAAAATTAAAAATGAATTCAAGAATAATAATGAAGTGTAGAGTTAAAAGTAAAGAATAAAGATGTAAATGAAAATTTTTGAACATTTTTGTATCAAATCAGAAAATTTTAAAAAAAATTTTGAGGAGGGCGGGGGGAATGGACTAATTTTGAAAATTTTGAAGATTTCCACGAGTCATTTAAATACAGACACTCCATCCAATCTCTTAACTTTGAAATCAATGTACACATTTCTCTCCACCGCACCTGGAGCTGCTGTTTGTTGGACCATATCCAACCATGCTCGACATTTAATGTAATGATTGAGAAAATTTCAGACCTTAAATCATACAATTTATGTATTTAAGCTAAGGATTTTCTTAGACAAATATTATGTGACTGAAGGATTTATGGAATTAATATATGTATTCCTAAATTCTGTAGCAGATTTCATGTTAAGTTCATGTTTTCGATCAAGTAAATTCGATCGATAAATTCTCGCCGTACTTTAAGGCGGAATAATTTTCAGTACAAGTATAGTTTGAGAATCTTAATTTCAAGAATCTCCAAACACAACGTGATGTTAGCAGCGTATAAAAAAACGCACTGACATTTTAAAAGAAGAGAAAATCCTTAATTGCCAGACAGCTAGGTTAAAGTCAGAATATAAATACCCATAGTAGAAGGGTACAATGTGAACTCGGGAGTTGATACCGTCAGAAACAACGTCATTTCCGAAAATTAACGCAGGAAAGTTAAATTTAGAATTTGTTCAGTCTAGAATTAATTTCAAGACTGTAAACAGTTCAAGATATTACGCGAATAAGAATTTAATGTGATATCCAAAGCAGTCAAGGATTTAACATTTAACTGTAAATAAGCAGTAGAAAAAGGAACCGTCAGAAATGGAAATAAATTCCTGTCAGCTAAGTTACTTTCTTATAGTCAGTATAATTTTTATCAGTTTCAAAGGGAAACTTAAGAAAGTGGACAAGAGTACAATGGGGTAGGTGAGATTTTTTTCTCTCTCTTTCTCCACTTGGCCGGCCATGCATGAAAAAATAGAGCCAAACATTTGGCTAGTGGAGTGTGCTAGAGGACTTTATGTTAAGGTGATGTGATGTTAGTGGTTGAAGGGGAATTAATGGCAAAGTTGCTTCTTCTTTTCTCCTTCCAAAACCGGCCAAGAAAGGGGGATTTGAAC